AAACAAGCTACAGCTTAGGACCCCACTCTCTTATTGGCCCCCCAAAAATTCACTATTAATATACTTCTTAATTGTATTTCAGCTCAACAATTACTTTGATAAAATACATATTTTGTTATGTGCAAATGGCTTTAGATACCTATTAGGTCCATAAATTACCATATAGCATATATTCAACACAAAAAAACAGTGACAATTTGTTGTTGACAAAGGACAGCTGGACATATAAAGGGCCCCATTACCTTCAGTAGCTTAGGGCCTCATCAAACCTAAATCCGGCCCTGCTCCCCACATTTTATGAAATATATTATTTGTATAGGTTTTGAAGAATTAAAATGAAGTTTTTTCTTTCCTCAACCTTTTTTAAAAAGAAAAGTTAACTCCTTTTCTAAACCCCCAGCTTCACAAAAACTTAAGTTTCTACTGCACTGCAGCTGCATGTTAGATCAGCTTTGTTTTGTGGGATCCTGGCTTTATCTACTGCTCTGAGAGGCAAGAACATGCCACAAGCACCCAGAAGTGATTTATGCATTGCTAAAGAACTAGTTAGAATGACAGCAACACAGGCACGAGGGTATCGTGTAGCATTAGGACTTTTAACAGGAGATCTCATCTCGGGGCTCTTCTGCAGCTTAGCCAAAAATAAACCAGCATAGAACAAATACCAACCTTTGCATGGTATAAGGATCTTACAATGACTCCAGCAGTCCCACTGAACTTTAGCTACAAATCCTTCGGAAATAAAAATACTGCCTTTCAAACACAGAGATGATCCAGCTCCATATAAGCCCTTTCAAGAATAATTGACTTTAATGGGAGAAGTAATGAATTCTCTCAATACAAAAACAATGGAACTTCTAGTTTCCTTTGCCTGGAGGAGGGGTGGCTAAACAGTGACCCGCCAGATGATATTAAGGCTCCAGTTTCTTCCCTCCCCCCTTTTTATTACAAAATTTTAAAACAATTACCAAGCATGAAGTGTTGTCTTCCAGGACAAATACATATACAGATGTTAAGTCTTGTATGCAGCCATTCACTTGGCATCAAGATTAAGCTGTATTAAGCTGTATCCACAGGGTATATTTCAATCCAGAGCGTTAAAACAATTTCTCCATAGTGGCTGCTGTGACTTCAAAGCAAATAGTGAGACAATTCTTTTATTTATTTATTGCATTTATTACATTTATTTCCCACCTGTGTCCAAGGAGCAACAACCCCTAAGAGGCAGTGACTGGCCCAACGTCACCGATGAGCTTCATGGCCGGCTTATGAAATGCTTGACTGCCGTAGTTGATTTGTTCCGCCTGGCCTTTGGCTTGGAATCAACTTGATCCCCTTCCCCTCTTTCCTTTTTCCTTCTGTGATGGAACTCCTATTTGGGGACTTCCCTGGCTTTTTTCTGGCCCACGTAGGACCAGTCTGGATAGTTGGCCTTGGTGAAGATTTGACGTTTTCATCCCGAAAAAGTTATTGATTTGAGTTTCTACTGAAATGAGGCTGCATTTTAATGCTGCATTTTAATCTTGTTTTAAGTTGTATTTTAATCAATTGTTTTTATACCTGGTGTTAGCCGCCCTGAGCCCGGTCTTGGCTGGAGAGGGCGGGGGTATAAATAAAATTATTATTATTATTATTATTATTATTATTATTATTATTATTATTATTACAGCATTTTCAACAGGACTTGAACTATTCACTGACACATCTCAACATGAGAACCAGCCTTTAGGAAAAAATTTGCACCCATCTTTTTCACCGTCCAAATGAGCATTTGGATAACATCTGCGCCTTCCCCAAATGTACCGTACATCTATGTACAGCCTTCTCTTATCTAGTACCCCCTAGGTGTTTTGACCAGGTTGAAGAATGTTTGATCTAGACTGTAAACATAACCACACATACCAAAGCTTTGGTAAATATACCTCCTCAGTAAGTGGAAAGTTTCCAGTTCCATTTAGAGGATATAAAGAGGGGTCTCAGTCTAAGCAAAGATACAAAACTTCCGCTTGTCAATCTCTCTTGAACCAAGCAAAGTGAGATGGCACTAGGTTGCTCCCAACACTAGCATTTTTCTCAGGAATTGCCATCTGTTGTTTGCTCAATCGCTTTGGAGGAAAATCTGGACAATGCTGCAAAATTACTGCAGTTCAGCATTGCCTATGCTCTTCGTGCTGAACAGAAAAAGCGCTACTGAGGTTTTTTTTTCAGTTTCTGTGTCATTAACTAAAAGTTTCCTGTTTATGGGTCCTTCTCATTTTATTGCTTCCTCTTAATGATGAAGGGCTTCTATTGCCCCTTGAACAGCCTCTTTTAATTGCCCCATGTTAGCTTCTGTTCATTTAGGCCTATGGTAGGGGGAAAGCTTCAATTAGATTTCTTATTTTTCTTTTTCAAAAAAAGTATGGCAAAACAGCAGTGTAACAATTGAAAGGAAAAACAATGTACAGAAGTAATTATTTAACACACAGTGTTTTTCACATTTCTGTACACATCCTTGAAATTGCTGGTTTTTCACCCAAAAATTGAAACTGGCAAGTATTTAGAACCTCCCTAAACAGTTGTGCTTTAGTAATATTATAAATTGGAGTCTAACCACTATAATAATTTACTACTTTGGTGTTTCTGCTACTATGCACTCTGTAAAGATGGAAAAACGGGGGTTTGTAGTTCAGATAATTGCATGAATCTTACAGGGATTCCTTGCTACTTATACTATTATGATGATTTCTCTTTTTATTTCGTACTTTGCTTGAACAGATGCACATAAAATATGTGACATAGCTCTTGTTTAGAGACCTTACAGTCCAAGAATCAGTTTTCTTCCCCTATTTTATGTGGCTGTTATTATTATTATTATTACCATTTTCAGCAAATCATCACTTCTCAGCCTTTTGGCTAAGATCAAATGACCATTTTCATAAAACCAATTAGGCAGCTATCTTCAGCTGTGCTCCACTTTCTCAAGGATGCGCAACCCCAACTGATTTGGTGGGCTTTGTTTTTTGTTTTAGTAAATACATAAAACCTTTAAAACATGTGATACTTTCCTTGGATGGCTTATGCTGAGAAGCACCAGTCAGAGTTTGTTCCAAGCAAACGGGATACTGCACAGGGCAGAATTTTTTAAGGAGCAGTATCCCCCTCGCTGTGGGTTAAACCACAGAGCCTAGGACTTGCTGATCAGAAGGCCGGTGGTTCGAATCCCCACAACGGGGTGAGCTCCCGTTGTTCGGTCCCTGCTCCTGCCAACCCAGCAGTTCGAAAGCATGTCAAAGTGCAAGTAGATAAATAGGTACTGCTCCGGCGGGAAGGTAAATGGCGTTTCCGTGCGCTGCTCTGGTTCGCCAGAAGCGGCTTAGTCATGCTGGCCACATAACCAGGAAGCTGTACGTCGGCTCCCTCGGGCCAATAAAGCGAGATGAGCGCCGCAACCCCAGTCGGTCACGAGTGAGTTTGTGTCTTTTGAATTAAGGCTGCTTGCCTATCTGGGCTATGTGGAAGCTTGACTGTGAGTTTGTTTGTGGGTGTGGCCATGTTCTCTGCTAGAGCACATGGTCTGAAGCGGAGGAGCTACTGCTGGAAGGAAGCCAAGCTGACTGAAACACACATATTGCTAGGCAGAAGTCTTCCAATGAGTTATTAGTCCAGTAGAACTCACGCTTTAGTGAGAAAAGAAAAAAGGAGATAGCATCTTTGATGTTGCTCAATGACAGGAACTGGTTTGCATATCATTTGAAGGTGGGACACCAAGCAAACTAGCATGCCTGGATACCTGCTCTAGTCTGAAATTGCTCCTGGCAATTCTGTCTACAGTCTTCAGCACAGGTGTCAGATGAAATCTGAAGGAGCAAGTTTTTCTTCATATTTTGAAAGTCAAGCACACTACTTATTCATTATACTTATATTCGGTTCTTCTCATTAAGAAACTCGAATGATTTACACCTGGCACTGACTGGGCAGAGACCTTCTTAGATTTACATAACACCATTATGTGCTGTCAGCCTATTCTCTAGGCATGTGTTCTGCTGATGCACTGACCAGTTCTCAGGCGTTATGGAAACCACCAAGCTTGAAAGGTTCACCGAGCCTGAAAAGGTCTGGTTAAGTGCCAAAGAAATAATCCAGTACTCAGAAAGAGAAATCAAAGTAAATGCTTATATGAAAATAGTAACGTGTACATGAATCTGGACTGTCTAAACCTTAAAAGAACATGCAAAACAAGACTGTAATGCTACAGTCTTTATTTTCCTTTAACAAAATACACAAAATTCACTTTTATAGTCATTATTGTACAGGTATAAATAATGCGCAGTATTCAAGTACAGTCAAGTGCGGATATTCCTACGCTTTATGTAAACACAAACTAGCTTTCTATTTCACATGCTGTTAGCTCATCTGCTCTGCATATAGCCCCTAAAGGATATATCATACTTTGGACAACCCTTTAACAACTTGCTTTCTCTCAAAGCAAAATAAAAAAGGGTTAGGAGTGACTAAGTTTTAGTTTTATTGACACTTTCGTACTGCTTATGATAAATACCTAAGCACCATTTCTCCTGTAAACATCTAGATATTCAAAATTCATTCAATACCTAAATATTAACACCCCCCCCAAAAAAACCCCTAAGTTTACTAAACCAAGAATTACACATCCTTTAGGTAATTACAGCACTCTTTGTTCAATAACCAAATAATACTATATTTTAAATCACTTGTATGTAAAATACTCCATTTAGGCATTTTTAGGTTGTCTTTTTAGAAAGTATGCAAAACAAAAAAAGGAAGCTGTGCTTGGGTTTGACTTCAGCTAACTGGCACATTCTGAAGTGCTTTAACTTGCTCACACTCTTGCAACAAAATACCTCGTAGTACACTTAGCTTCAACATATAGTGGCAGTCTGAGCTCATGAGAGTGGCGACATTGCAGCTTTTGAAAGCAACCCACCTGGAAAAAAAAAAAGTAACAGCTGAAAGAGTGTAGCTAAAAATAATTAGGCACTTTATTCTTCTGCTAGTGGTTCTTGTCGTTGGAAAGCTGGAACAGCAAACTCGGAGTCCGTGGTGGCAGTTTTGGCTTCGCTTCCTGGTTGCTCTTCAGCCGCTGCCACAACTACGTCACGGCTTTGGTCTTCAACAGTCAAAGCTTGGTCATCTTCCTGGTTTGTCTCAGTAAGTTGGGTGGCTTCTTCTAAAGGGTCTGCGTGAGACACGAAGTTTGATTACACTGATTGTGTGATTATTTTCTGAGGAAAATAGCAGCTTGTGGAATGTCAAATTCACACAACTGATCCCTCCTTTCCCTCCTCCCCTCTGTAGGCCTTGAAAAGCCTCTCTGAAGACATCTCTGAGGCCTCTCTGAAGACATCAGGACGGTGTACAATAAATGGTGGGCTGTGTCATGCAGGGCTGAGGTGGGAAGGGAGAAATCACCCCAAATGAGACAATAGAATTTTGATTCCCCCCCTTCCCCACATCCTTTTGTGCCCCTTAAAAATCTACTTTGGGGGTCTGGGGGATTCTCGGGAAGAGGGTGGGATGAGGTGTTGCAGGGGGAGGGGGGAATTTGGCAAACATCAGCCTCCTCCCCGCTTCTCCTAGTCAGATCCCTCTATTAAGATTGCTCTTTTGTTCATGGAAGGTAAAATCCGGATACGCTGTGCTTTATTTTGCTTTCTTTTATTACGGGTGGCCTTGGAGACCTGTTACCAGGCAGAAAGGGTTATAAAAATAAAAGGAAAATTGATAACAGTTTGCATCAAATTGTAGAAGGTTACAAAGGTTTTCCACCATAAACCTTGTCATACATGGGCATTACATGCCATATTTGTTCATCTAAGAGCACTTGGTGGTGTGATCATTTCTGGATATGCTCTCAAGAAACTTCTCTGTTTAGAGCCACCTACAAAAAGATACTTTTACATATAACAAAATACTTTTAAGGAAATAAATACAGAGTGATAGTCTAAGCTACGTTCTTAGAATATGGCATGCTCTTGTTAGCTGAACACAAGATGCTTACTGTATTTTCAAGCCTATAAACCATCTCAAAAGGAACTTTCTTAAATTGAAGTTGACAATTTGTCTTTGAACTACCCATTATTTTATTTTTATTTTTTTAAAAAGCCAAGTCAGTTTTACTAGATTTTCCTGCCCTGGGGAAAACAGCAAAACCAGCTTAACGAACAAAGGCAGGAACTTAAACCCCACCTCAACCCAATGACCTGGGGAAAACAATGAAATCTAACCATTCTGTGATCCAAATCCTTTAATTACACAGTGTAAATGTTAATATTGATACTAAAAAAACGCCCAAAAGTAGAAGAACAAGGGCTTTGTAAACAAAGAAAATTTAAGAGACTGATAGTCTTGCTAGATAGGATGGAAAGAATCTATTTTACAAAAAGAAACTGAATTAAGTTTGGATTCTACTAAAGCTGGGGGGGCAGGACTGGCTAAAAACATCCTTGGCAGCCAACTCTGAAAAACCAACAAGGCAAAATATACCACAGGATGACCCAAGATCATCCTATTCTTAGGAAATCAAGATGAAAAAAGATTTTATGCACGTGAGATATAGTATCGTGGTGGCTTTTGACTATGAGCAACACTCTTTCTGTCATATATAGCGAACATCCACTGGCAAGATTGAATAAACAGCACTGCAAGGAAAAGCAAAATGCTTCAAATCCAATTGCCCTAATTACATTTTCTGGCAAATGTAGAGGACTCAATGCACACCTTCAGCCATTTGACTCTCTTCTAACTTTTCTTCCTCCAACTGCAGTGGTTCAGTCGTGCTCTGTACCTCTGTAGGCTGCTTCTTTTCAGCACTGAAATCTGGAAGTCGTGGAGCTTGAGGTCTTGTTTTTCTTGCAGGATTCAGGAAGAAGCAGTAGGCACACCTAAATGCTGCACAAAAGTTTAATACAAGTGTATCCAGTTAGCTCACTGAACCTTAATGTGCTAACACTGCAATGGCTGCAAGACTCTGAAGCATTAACTTGGAAAGGAAGAACAGCAAACTGATTTTTGTAGAAGCAGCACTGCACACTCTCACCTTCTCCCATTATCAATGACAACAACAAACAAAGAAGAGTTGCTTTCTTACAGTAGGGCAAGTCTTTTCTCGGATTTGAAATTTCTGGTGCAGTTTTTCAAAAATCAAAGAAACATAAGAGTTGGAAGGAACCCCAAGGGTCATCTAGTCCAATCCTCTGCAATGCAGGAATCTCAACGCACAGTCCCCCATCCAATTTGAAACCATCCGGGAGCCTGCTTAGCTTTGCAAAAGTGTTAGACATTCCATTGCTACCACTAGGAGGGTTATAATTTGGGTCTTCTGTTCAAAATTCTATGTGCATGTTCTTTTCTTTCACATTAAATTAATGCATAGGAGGTAAAAAAGACTGGAGAAGCGATACGTTTAAGGCAACATTTCTCTTTTTTATTATTGCAACTTCTGCAGCCTTCCTTTCCTACAAGGAGCTCAAGGCAGTGTATATGGTTAATCTCCTCCCTATTTTATCCTCTCATTTTTATCAGTAGTACTCCTCACTTCTGCCTCCCACTGGCTCCAGCCTTGGTGAAAGAAAGGTACGGGGGGAAAACATACAGGCTGCTGCAGCTGTAATTTATTTCACCATGTGGAAGTTGTGTAATAGGGAGTGCTGGTGAGGGTGGATATGCTTTGGGACCCAACAACAACACTGAAGAGGGAGAGAGGGCAGAGGGATAGGCCCAAACACCTGGTGCTTCGTTCGTGGCTCCTTTGGCAACAGCAACTATCACCTGTTCCTTGCAGGTCAACCCCACTGCTTGCTTAACTCGATCCACAAATTTGGGAAGAATGCAGTGCTAAAAATCCATATTGGGGGGGAAAGAGATCGATAGCAACCCTGCATGACGGGGTGTTCCCTTGAGTTTGGGAGCCTAGGTCTTAAGCAGTGAAAGCTTCACAGGACAAGTGCATCAATCCATCTTTAACTATATTTCAACTACGAGCAGAAGTGCAAAAAGTGAAAAGCGTAACCTCTCTAACTTGCATTTCATGGGTTGTATCCAATGTTGTGTGAGCATAATTCTGCTTGTGCAACAGAACTTTCCCTTCCTCTCCCCATGCTGCTACCCCACCCCCCACAAATGCTCCAGGAGTCCTCCAGCTCTCTGGGGCATTTTGAAGACATGTTGGGGTTTGCAGAAGAGGAGAGGTTCCACTGAGCAGGACAGCAGTGTTGGATACGACCATTGACTTTTAAGTGAACATTCAAAAATGGGAGATATTGGTTCTTAATCAAATGTTTTGCATCACTCTTTGTAACCAACTCAAGTCAGTTAAGAGTTTGTATTCTGAAAGAGAAAATATTCAGAAAAACTGCTTTCTTCCTTGTCAACCCTATGCCGTTGGCTGAAGTCTGAAGAACCACCACTTCAACGGAGAGCACATGATCCCATTCTGTTTTCTTTGCAGGTTGTTTAGTGTGTGTATGAATGGGGGAAGGGGGGCAATCTATGCATGCGGATTTTGAACAGGCAAATTTAAGGATCGAAGTCACTGGTGTTACAAAAATTGCAATCCGTTTCCAAGAATGGCTATTGCACATTGTGGGTTTCTATAGGCAGATGTAACAGTTTACATAGCAACCGGAGAGGGAAGGGAGAGAGAAAGAGGCATCCCACTGTATACTTCTGGAAAAGAGCTCAAAAGCTCTCACCCTCATGCAGACACAAATCAAAGTGTCACAACACTCAGGCAAACAACAGCCTATAAAATTTAGGCTACGTACTTTCTGCTATTTATATGCAGTATGGCTACTGCCTCATGAATCGAGATCAATTTAGCTGGGGGCAGTGGGGAGGGGAGAGCCGTTCAGGAGAGATTAAACCAAACTTTGACCACACATGCGTAATACCGGGCTTGAACAGTAAATGTATTAGCCCTCCGATAATACAAGATCACATGAAATGAATGGGTTAAGCTGCCTCTCAGAGCCAAGAGCAAATGGGAAGACACACCCAAATGTCTTGAGATAATTTCTCTCACATTACTTGCAGATTGATTTTTGTTTGCCGAGAGGCGGCAAAATAAACATCTGTGTTCAATGAAGAGCTGTGCCTGTCTTAAGTTATTGTCAGCCGTAAAACTCAAGAATAGCCCCCGGAGTTTGTTCCCACTTCATCTCCAATGTCTCCCACAGGTTTCTCTGTTACGATAAATTTTGCTGAAGTTCTGGTAAAGTGAGGACCCAGATTTAAAAACAAAAACAAAAACCTATTAGGGTGCAGTTTCCTAGCCAAGTACAATCTTGAAAGCATGCAGAGAAAGCAGCTTATTTCTACAGCTCACTTTTGCACACATGTTCCTTGACCTGCATATTACAGAACTTTTTTTTTAAGGATAATGGATTCTAAAAGGTATACACAAATGAATACCATAACATATTATAAGTACACAAAACTGAATACAAAAAAAGAGTTATGAGTACTTAAGCTTATAGATTTTAATGGCTCTAGCACTTTTAGGACACACTCCAATACAGAGTTAAGCAAGAACCAGTATATTACATTCTGTAAATGCCTGAACGGACAATGGTGGCCAGGGAGACAGGAGGCTTTTTCAAGAAGCAGAATATATGCATTTGTTCTTACCGATATATTCAAATTCCTCCTTCAAAGCCATTCCATTATGCGAGGAACACTGTTGGCATATAAGTGCATATCTAAAGAAGATGAGATCAGAGGTTAAAAACATTGGTTTAGCCACTTAATTTTAGTCATGAATATAATTTAGTCGTACTATACTGGATCACTTCAACAGGACTTGCACACCAGAAAGGGGGCATTGAAACTCAGAATTAAAATGGCACAAGCCCTTTTACACATATTCACCTCCCACACGCAGTTTAAATGCATGGAGCAGGGAAGTGGACTGCTAATGCCCCTTTGGGACATGATGTCATGCAGCTTCGCCCACATGCCCAGTGCAACATCAGAAAAGGGGAGCCCAGGCTTCCTCTCTGCACCCCCACAATGTGTTTAGCCTGCAGGCAGGCACCTGAGAGCGTAACCCTATTATAAATTTATTTTCACAAACATAGCACATTACTGCAAGTTTAAAAGCTGCCAACTGAGTATTTTTAACCACACTGTGACTCGGCCACTTCAGACTCAAAAGATTTTGACTATTTGGTTTAAAGCACCATTAATTTGAATTCAAATTACAGCTAGATGAAGTTGGTAAGACTGAAAACAAGGCAAAGAAGAAGAAAAAATAGGAGGCAGAATATCTGAAAAGCTCTAAACTTAGGACTCAAATATCTGAAAGACCACCTCCTTCCCCACAGACTGTCTCAGGTGCTGTGATCAGCAGTGAGGGCCCTCCTGGTAGTTCCTTCACACTTAGAGAAGGGTGGTTGTGGCACAGGAAAGGCATTCTCAGTGGTGGCCCCTAAGCTGTAAAATTCCCTCCCTACAAAGCTACATCTGGTACCTTCATGGTACAGCTTCTGGAGAATGCTGAAGACATTAACCTGGCTTTTGACACCTGAGGTGCATATTTTTAGGATCCGCCTTATTTTTGTGTTTTGTTTTAAGCAGTTTTTAATATTGTTTTTTAAATGCTCTAACCAACCCAGGGACCTGAGGGTAAAGGTTGGGTGAATGATAATAATGACAATAGCAGCTACAAGTAACTTCTCCAATAAAACAATGCTTTATATAACTGATTTTATTCCAAGAACTGTCAGAAAGGCGCTTTAACTGACAGCCAATTAAAAGTGTGGCGATTAAGATTCTCTGAGCAACGACTGCTCCAGCACAAGAGTTCACGTAAGTTATTAGAAAGTTACAGTATGGCTACAATCCTATACTTGCTCACATGGAAGTAAGTTCCACTGAACCTGGTGGGGCTTAATTCTAAGTAGACATGTATAGGATTGAATTGTAAGGGCTCCTTTTTGCGTCACATTTATTACATACCCCTCTTTCTGGAAGGAGCAATGCTACCAAGAGGAAAAGCCATAGTGTGGTCTCCTCCCATCTGGGTTTTCCGCAATTAACAGAGTGATGCAAAGAAGAAACCGCAGGAAACCTGAGAAGCAACTCAGAGTTATAACTTCAGAATTGAACATAATAAGTAACGTTTAACCTGTTCTGTGGACCATCTCCAACTAAGTATTCAACAACTCTATCCAATGCTCCCCTTTCTCGAGGAAGAATAGGCCTTGCCAACGGAGGTCCTGGAGGATGAAGACCTGGAAGACCAAAATGGGATTGATAGCAACCTACTGACTTATTAACCAGAAATAAGGACATCTGCTTCCAGTCTGTATGTTACAAAATGGAATAAAGCACCTTAACATGTATTAGAAATTAGCATTATATTCCTCTGCATTTCAATCCCATTATCATATTTAATTCCGTATGTCAGTTCCTCAGGGTTATTTTTCTTGCGAACGAAAATACCACATGTAATAGGGAAATTGTCACCTTCTGTGAAGACAGATTTGGAAGGTTTTTTGCCTCCCTTGATAGCTGTTTACAGCAATGATATTGCCCTGAAGATTCTTTCCCCTGAATGAAGTATGCCTCACTCTCTCAGTTCTGCCTGATATACACATTCCCTGAAACATACTGGATTTGTCACTTAGCAATCTATAACCTGTGCTTTGGTTCCCTCCAACCCAACCACGGGGCAGGCAAAACCTACTTTTTAGCTTCTATTTAGGACCTTAGTCAAATTTTAGATTTGTTATTTGAGACAAAACCAGGTGTCTATCTACACTGAGCACAGTTCACAGCACAAGCCTATACACATCTACTCACAAGTAAGTCCCACAGAATTCAATGTGACTTACTCCCAGGTAAGTTTGTATAGGATTACAACCGACACTTTTTCTAGGGGCATGAACACTGTTGAGACTATTGTATTACTTTTTGATGTTCTTAATGCAACAGAGAACTAGCATGGGGCAGTGGTTGGAATATTGACTAGAACAAGGGAAACCAAGGTTCAAATCCACACTCATCATGAAGCTCAATGGGTGGCCTTAAGGCTAGCCACTCTCTCAGCCTAAACTACCTGGCATGGAGGGCACATAATGGTTGTATGGAGAGGTCCCTGAAACACACAGGGAGGAGAGAAGGCTCTCTGCCTTCAATCATTATGGCCTGATTCACATAAACCACCGTTTTGCAATGTGTGAACCCTGCTGCACAGCATCTTAACTATAGTTTGCTTACTGCCAACAAATTACAGCATGAAGCCATGGTTTGTTGTTCGCTTACAAACCCTTAAATGATGTGGCATTATGGGAGAGCACCTTTGCTTAACCATGGTTCATTGGACCACCTCACCCGCATTGCTCACCAAAGGCGCAAAGCAAGAGCAGCCAGAAAACAAACCAAGCTTTGAAGAAACGAGCTAAGGTTTGCTTGATCACCTGTGGGACAACTTGCAGTTAACCTGTTTGTTTGTTAAATCAACCATGGTCTAGCATTAAGGGCAAACCAGACCTACGACAGACATTCCAGCACTTCCTATCTATATCATCATATTGTATAGGAAGTTTAGAACACGTGGACATTATGTGTGTGTGTGTGTGTGTGTGTGTGTGTGTGTGTTCTTTCTCTCCCCCCCTCCCCCCGCAAAAAATATCATTCTGTGTGCTCAAATTCTTTCAGTACCATAGGACATATGATGCTCCAGCTATTGGTGGACACCATCAACACCAGCCAGCATAGAAGACTGGAGTAGCCACAGATTGCTCACCCTACTTTTAAAAGTGTGCCGAATTGTGAGTTGGAGACTACAACATTCATTAAGCTTTCAGTTCTATCCTAATTATCAGACATTTCAGATATTATTATTATTAATTGAATTTATATACAGTCGTACCTTGGAAGACGAACACAATTCATTCTGGAAGCCCGTTCAACTTCCAAAACATTCAGAAACCAAAGCACGGCTTCTGATTGGCTGCAGGAAGCTCTGCAGCCAATCAGAAGATGTTTGGGTTCCAAAGAACATTCGCAAACCGGAACACTCACTTCCAGGTTTGCGGCATTCGGGAGCCAAAACGTCGGAGTACCAAGGCGTTCTGGATCCAAGGTACAACTGTACTGCCCTATACCCAGAAGTTTTGGATGCGAACATATATGCATTTTGCACAAGTAAATACATGACCTAAACAATTACTTTAAACCAATTACCGTATTTTTCGCTCTATAAGACGCACCAGACCACAAGACGCACCTAGTTTTTGGAGGAGGAAAACAAGAAAAAAAATATTCTGAATCTCAGAAGCCAGAACAGCAAGAGGGATCACTGCGCAGTGAAAGCAGCAATCCCATTTGCCGTTCTGGCTTCTGGGATAGCTGCACAGCCTGCATTCGCTCCATAAGACGCACACACATTTCCCCTTACTTTTTAGGAGGGAAAAAGTGAGTCTTATAGAGCAAAAATTACGGTACATTTAAAGGGAACACCATTACAAATAAGAGAGGCTTGGACTGGAATAAAACTGATTTAAAAGAATCCAATGTCACATATAAATATTTTCAGTACTATTAAGCATGCACACTTTGGAGGCAATCTCAGTTCAAAACAACCATAGGGCCCGTGGTAAAAGGGCTGCCTCACTAATCTTAAAGAAGCCTGAAACCTAAGACCATGTGCCCCAAGAACCTCTCCAATTACTTGGCACACTAACAATTCTCAAACCACGCATCTTATTCCTCATGCTGATATGGACAAGAGTAATTAATATGAACATCAAAAGCAATCATTGTGGGCAGACTGGCCATTTCTGCAAAGCTTGGCAAACTCTCAACTACCTGCTGGTTATTAATTTTTAGACATATGGAAGCTCTGTGGTAATACATGTTAAATTGATTCTCTTCCACAAAGTATAATGTAATGAAAAAATGAATTATCTTTTCCAGTTTAAAGATAATTAAGTGCAGTCATATGCACTTCGGCTGATGTTTCTCACAAGACAGGAAGAAATCTGCATAGCAAGAAACTTGACTTTTATATTCTATCATGTTGCTTGGAACTTCTGAGTAAGTTGCACTTGAAAGACTACACTGAGAGACACTGAAATTCCTGCACCAACAATAAACCTCCAAGTTTGTCATGACTTTTAACAGTATGCTACAGAACTGAATTAACAGAGGGCACTTGTTTCTTAATTAACATGTTACGGTTAAAAACTGCCACATTGCCAATAACTCTTAATTAAAATAAGTAACCACCATTAATTACGGTTTTAAAAATGAATAATGAACCAAACATCTAGCCCTTGCATCAAAGTGTGCTATACTATTTTTTCCTCCCAAAAGCTATATAGCCTTCAAAATTGCCTGAGACTGGTAAAAACCTGCACTGCAGGATCAAAATTTTAATACAAAACTGTAGTCATAATCCACACCTTTCTGAACTTTGGGAGACAGGTGTGAAGAGATTCTACACAGAAATTTATCAGCCATCCTGTTGCCTGAGAGTCCTACATGCAGCTGCTGCGCTGAGCACTAATGCATATGGTTATTCAGGGTGAAGTAAGGCCCTCTCACGCATCATAGTTGTACCTAGGTTTTTGAATGGAATCCGTTCCAGAAGTCCATTTGACTTCCGAAAATGTTCAAAAACCAAGGCGCGGCTTCCGATTGGCTGCAAGAGCCTCCTGCACTCATTGGAAGCCATGTTGGACGTTTGGCTTCCAAAAATATTTCGCAAACCGGAACACTCACTTATGGGTTTGCGGCGTCCGGGAGCCAAAACGTTCGAGAACTAAGCTGTTCAAAAACCAAGGTCTAGTGGTACCTCTGGTTACAAACTTAACTCATTCCGGAGGTCCGTTCTTAACCTGAAACTGTTCTTAACTAAAGACGTGCTTTCGCTAATGGGGCCTCTTGCTGCTGCTGCATCGCCGGCACATGATTTCCGTTCTCATCCTGGGGCAAAGTTCTCAACTCGAGGTAGCTCTTCCAGGTTAGCGGAGAAGCGTTTGTAACTCAAGGTACACTGTATCACTGTATCTACTAGCCTGCTCCTCCCTTGGAAGCCAAGACTCCAACTCCAACTCAACCTAAACTAGCATGGCAATGGTCAGGATTGATCAGGCGGCTGCAAGGTTGTAAGTCCCTTGTTTTCTCCATCCCTAACACAACACCAGGGTATGCTGTTCCAGAGGGAATTCCAAATAGGTAATCATTTCAATGCAAGCAAAAGCAGCAAATTAGACACAAACTGAGTAAAAAAGGCAGCTCCGACCTTCTCTCAGAATCTGACCCTCCTATCTGTAATTTCAACCCTAGGAGATTTGGAGGCAAAGGAAAGTGGGCAGGAAGCACACAATGACACACTGGGCACACATGAATAATTTTTTCATTAAGAGTTCGCTCACTACAGACTTTTACCACCCCATACACAACTGAACTGAAAAGTACATCTGTAAAACAGAAAATCAATCCAGCAATGAAAAAGGTTTAAAGTGCTTCTGAGTTTAGCTAGTAGTTTCAGCAGATACAAATTAGAAGTAAAATGTTTCAACAAGGTAACTGATGTTAACTCTCCCCCGTCCCTGTTCATCAGCTTTCTACTTCAGAAAGCTCTGCTACCTAATACGGAACCTCTTTAGTTATTAAATATTTTATGTTTTAATCTTTGCAGCGTAAACTTTTTGAGGGAGGGCTTAGAATAAGCATTTGAATAAATGTCACAATGAAAGTCAAAAAATATGTCCAGGGCTTTGTAAGAAGCATGAATGAATTCCAAAAGTGTTTTCTTATATCCCTGATTTATCTAAGTCTGGAGGCTTGACTAAACCAAGAACATAAAAAGGTATGCTATATTGTTGACTACAGAATACTGCAAAGTTTTATTACCATTTAAACAAAGAAGCCATAACAGTTAAATGAGCTCAGGCAATAGGTTTCAGTATCATAAGGTGCCAGCTGTAAAGAGTTATGGCTAATTGAATATGGAACTCCTGCTTAATCAGATAACGGCTCCTCTACTTCCAAACAAAATGCCATTTCCATACTGTCTGAAAATGGCCTGTTTTATTGGTAACCAGAGAAAATAATATAAACTGTAAACAACATTAAGTGCTCTGTTTACCCATTCCAGGCACTGGAGTGGCACGGGACCCGGGATGTCTTGGTAACACATTTGGCTGCAAGGGTGATGTAACAGATCTCTCAGGAGGTCCGCCCGGTGCCGAAATCTCTCTCTGCAAGCCAGGAGTTGGAGGCGCTGGGCTTGGTCCTTTTGGAGACCCCTGTTTTGGTGAAGCAGGGGTCGGGGGAGACACGTTGCCTCGCACTGGGGTCCGATGACGAAGTTCTGACAGAAGAGCCACACGTTAATGCTTATTGTACCAAAACGACAAGACCTGGCGTTACTGTAAGTTAACCAAGGTAAGGGAAACATTTGTGAAGTCTACCCCCACCCGTCCGCACACAAACCAGCTGAAGTGCAACAATACGTAGATCCAAGTTCTCAAATAGACCCTTTCTTGTAATTTGAGCCTACCATCTGGTTTCTAAACTCCCTCAGAAGTGGCTCTCACTTGAATGGCATTAATAAAACAGTTTAATTGCGTCTCTCAGCATTCTCTAACTAGCATAAAGGACCAGTTAATCTAGATTAGAATGTAAACAAATTAAATTATATTAGAACGTAAACAAAATGACCTCGAGGCCACTTATTAATTTTTCAAGCATTATCACACCATTCAGTCATTCTCAGGCTATTAAGAACCACAGTTCTTTTGCACAAGTCCCACACCATTTTGTTCCTTTATACTACATTACAATTTATTAAGAATTGCCTTTTCCAATGGGAAAATATGCAATGGGGTGGGTGTTTGCATGCACCACTTTCACTGGTTCATGGCTAGGCTTCTGTTGGAAAGAGTTGAATCGGTGTGCAAAAAGAATAGACACCTAGTTAGGAATGAGTTGTGTATCATAAGAGTAGTTCAAGCCCAAAGGGAATTGTGAGTCTTGTTAAATCCTTCTCACATACATAGAACTGCCTTTGACTCTGTGGGAATTTGCCATAGGTAATGAGTACTGAAGTAGACCTTAAGATGCTGATGGTGCGGCTCTGATCTGACCTTGATCCTGTAGTTTTTGCTGGTTGTGACTGGGGAACAGACATGAATGACGGACCCACTTGAAAAATATTCAGGACAAGACCAAGATAATGATTGCTTGGCAGGCTCCAACCTGAAGATTGCATGCACACTTCTTAATGACTAGCCACTCATTTAGATTTGCAGGCTTCAGTGTACACCACTGTGTCTAGAACCTTTCTGCTGAAAAAGCTGTAATTCACTCTCTCAATTTTGGATGCAGGGTTTTCATTCAGGTTTTCATAACCTGCAAGGTCCTAGCTGAAGAAAGCATCACTGGTTGCAGATTATGACAGCTGTCAATGAATGGTATACAACACTAATGATCATAGGATCTGTGTGATTTTTATGGCCTTCAGAACCTAATTTGAACAGGTAGCTCAGCCCTGAACACCTGAGAAACTGCTCTTTATCTACATCCCTTAGGGGCCTCTTTAACAGTATTATCCATGCAGCATGGTCAAGCGGTAACAACACATAGTTGGACAATCTTGACAGCCCAAAACTAAGAGCTTTCTTTTCCTGAAGATCTTCACAACTCAAAGTACAACTCAACAGCCTCAGCCCCTTTCTTTCACTAGAGAATCATGCACTCAGCTGAAAAATATATATTAATACTAAGGCAACATTATTTCCCCCATCCCTGACCCACTTCCACACCCATCCACCCCATATCTTCTGTTATATCTAGATCTAGTGGCTCATTTCATTTCAGTTCTACAACTCAGCGACCACCAGCATTAAAGCCCTTTGCAATTGTGAATACTTTGGGCCTTTTCAGTATACATGTTACTACTATATGTATTTTTATCTATCTTCTTTTTGCACATACTTTCCCTGACTTGTAATCCCAAGTGCCTCAAGATTGTGTCTTCCAACGCTTGCGGGATACATTTTGTATGAGAATCCAGGTTTCTCACATCTTTGTGTTTCTGGTCCAGTGATGGTGGGGAGAATACAATTCCTTTTGCAGTAAAATCAATTTCACTGTCTTCTAGCAAGTCCTCGTGCATGGCATAGCGTAAAGTTAAAGATAGATATGAAGCAGTTGCAAACTGTCACATAGTCCATCCCTCAAATGAAATATGTGCAACCTCTCACACGTGTTGATGAAGCCAACAAAATCTTCAGATACGGTATAAAAAGCAACTTTTTCCAGAGATGCTGTCTTTCCCACTCTAAAAAAAGAGTATCTATTTCATTTCTGCTTTGCCTGCCGTCTCACTGAGTCGGCCCTATCCTCACAAATGCGAACAAAAACCAAACCGGAAAGACTAATTACAGTAAAGAAAGATGCAAAAGGACCCAGAAGATCAAGTGTGCTGCTGCTGCAAGCAAGCAAACCATTCTGATCGGGAAGGGGGGGGGCAGATATCCAGAACTGTAAGCACATTAATTGTGTTTTGGAATCAAAACATGAAATCATACAGCAAAGCCATATCCTGTTAGTGGTCACCACTACCACAAATGAATGGGTACTCCTGTACTTTGGAGGGCATGGCTGGTCACAGTTCAATGGTGTGATGCTGATGTCTTAAGATGGACTAGGCCTGCTGCCCCCACATGCCACTAGGTCAAGCTAGGAGACAGTGAACTCACCCCGCTCTTCATTCTGAGGCCCAAGCAGATGTGAAGACCTCTAGGTATTTCTGCCCACCATGTCCATGGACCCTCCACATCTACTAGTGAAAGAGAATCAACCTCCTGCCGTCTTCCTACGTGCTTCCTTCTCTCACCGCAAATGACTGCTGATCCCGGTGAGCTGGCCGAGGGGATGACGTTGCCCTAATCGGCTCAAGAAGTTGGCCTACTACTAAATAAACTTCTAAAAAATCAGATAGCACCATCCTCTCTTCCCCAAATTAAATTCCTGTTTAGGAACAGAGATTTCATTTGTGGTGGGCTTGTGTTCTGAAATATTCCAAGCCTCTTGGAATGAAAATTAAATGGTGTAAATACAGTTTTCTTCATGAAAAGCAGCAGTTTTTACAGAGCTATTACCTTGGCCGGGTCTTGGAACTGCAGATGCTCCAGCAGATGGCGGTTCAACATCCTGTCAATTATAATAATATTACAAAGTGTTTTGCTCTGTGGTGCACTTTGTAGTAAATTAGTACAGAGATCAGATCCTACCTTTGCCTTCTTGGCTTCGGGATCAAACCTTTCAAGGATTAGTTTAGCAGCCTTGTAAGTTTCTTTTTCCATTACTTCTTCAAGCTAAAAATAAATTTTAAAAAATGTTTTACTGGTCAAGATAGGCCACTTTAGAATTTAAATTCCAAAGCTTTAGAGGGGAAAACCCCCCAATGCTTTTCTTTAATGGCATAAGTTAAGATAAAGAAATCCTGCAAAAACTACAACCACACACACATCACTTCAATGTGTTCAGTGGAAATGAAATCTAGCTTTAAAAATCGTTTCTAACCTCTAATGCACTACTTGTGCTCAACAGCTTTATTGCAAGGAAACACCAAATATTGCTAATTGTTTACATATAATGAGGAGAATAATTACATGCACCAACTTCAATAATGGAATGTGCAAAAATCTATCAGCCATCATTATTGGAAGTTATTAGACATGACAAGCAAATGACAGGCAATTCCTCAGATTTATTTCCTCATAGCACTTAATGCTATTAATTTAAAGAAGGTCGTTAGCCAAGTGCTTTACAGAATAAAGTCTCTGTGCCAATTAACTGCTGTCAGCATTGATTTTAGATTATTTATTAGCAGAAGCAATTAGCTTGCTGCAAATGCCATGAAAACTCACTAACTGGGAGAGCAGCCATGGAATTTGCTCAAATGGCTTTAAAGGCTAAAGCACCAGCCTTTATGGCTGGATTCAAACTGCCTTTCAGGAAAAAAATAGAACATGCTAAGAATTTAAATAAAAAATTTACCGAGTACTATGCATACTTTAGGGATTGTAATTAAAGCACTTCATTATTACTGCATTTTATTTACAATGCACTCAAGTGGCTTTATAGCTAATACATGGGCTTAATTAAAAAAGTAATCACTAGTAAAATATCATTTTAGCGGTTAATAGCCAGCATCAGAAGAAGTTTAACTATGAATATTTGTGTTCTAAAGTTATGACAGATGACTAACATGTACAAGGAATATAAAACATTTCACAGTACATTTTGATTTATGTCTCTCCAAGTTCTTCTTCTCAATGCTAGAAATCTCCCCTACCCTTCTATTAATACAGTAGCTTCTCTCTGTCTCTGTCTGTCTCTCTCTCAAACACACATACACAGTTTGTTTAATAAATAGTTGGCATTTTTAAGGCCAAGAGATGCATGTTTTAAATTTCCCTCGTTCATTGCTAAACAGGACTCTCTCTAAACAGAGCGAGAATGATCAAACTGTTCCTCTGTGGTGTAGGATAGGTAAAACTTTTAGTTGCTCACCTGCACCGTAAGAGGAATAATATACCACCACAAGATATCCTCACACACATATAAAAAGTAGATAATAAATAAAATTGACTTTCAAAGAAATGAAGCATTTATCTGACAGCTAACACTCAATGCTAAGAACCCTTTAAAGAGAAAGAAATAAAATTTATCCACATTATCCATTAAGGACTATCAAAAACTACAAGGGACACCAGAACTCCCCATAGAGAATTCTGAAGCAAAATTTAAAAAAATGGTTTAACCCCTTCTAGTCCTTAGCATGTCTTGAGATTCCATATCCAGCTCGGGTAAGCAATTTGTACTCTACTTTCAGATGTTAAGAACATTAACAAATCATGACCTATTAGTTGTGACCAAATTATAAATTAAAACAAGAATGGTTATGATTATTTACTACAATTTATGTACCACGTTTTGGCCCAAAGCCCCCACCCCCCAAAGTGGTAACAAGAGTATTGCAACAAAAATACAGTACGATGGCATCAATCTATTAGCAAGCAAAATAATACGAAAGCAAAATCACAACACAAAAGGTCCAAAAAAGATAAGCGCCCCAGGCTACAAAGGTGCATCACCAGCCCTACGCTGCAGACACTTAGGAGCTAGAAACCTGGACAGAAAATGAGAAAGACTAAAACAGCATTAACACTCTAGAAGAGTTAAGGTTGATTTCACCATCACTCCATTGTAACTATTCAGGGTGTGCATGTAATCTGTGTAAATAACTGCCAAAAGCACTAAAAAACAGGAACACTTAGAACATTAACAGCTGCCGCAGTAAGTCCAACACCTTAGTCTACGCTTTCCAGGCAAGTACAACCCCCGAGAAGCTTAAGCTAAAAAGGATCTACCTTTTCCCTTGCGCAGTGTAGGGCGGTGCCCATTGGGGCTGGGAGGGTGGCATGCATGGAGGCCAGCAGCAGGGGGTGCCAGAGACAACGGCAGGTGGAGCCAACTAGTTCTAATTCTGTCCCCATCCTTCCCCTTGCTGAGTTTTACATGGCTAAAATTGAGGCTAAGGTGTCAGAAACTGGCAGGCAGTGCCCACTCCCCAGACTGGTTGTAAACCTGAAGGAAGGTAGGTTGGGGGTTGGCTAGGGACACGGGTGGCACTGTGGGTTAAGCCACAGAGGCTAGGACTTGCTGATCAGAAGGTCAGCAGTTCGAATCCCCGCGACGGGGTGAGCTCCCGTTGCTTGGTCCCTGCTCCTGCCAACCTAGCAGTTCGAAAGCACGTCAAAGTGCAAGTAGATAAATAGGTACCGCTCCAGCGGGAAGGTAAACGGCATTTCCGTGCGCTGCTCTGGTTTGCCAGAAGCGGCTTAGTTATGCTGGCCGCATGACCTGGAAGCTGTACACCGGCTCCCTCGGCCAATAAAGCGAGATAAGCGCCGCAGCCCCAGAGTCGGTCACGACTGGACCTAATGGTCAGAGGTCCCTTTACCTTTTAAGGACAAATTGAGGTTGGTGGTACAGAGCCCCATTTGCCCTAACGGACCAGTCTCCACTGCCTTGCTCTCAAAGAATCATGGAGCAAATGTTGTCCGCAGGGACTTCATCTGTTCTCCAGTAATTCTTCAGATTATAGACAGAGGCTCCGAGATTACATTTGCAAGCTTCTTTAGTACCCTTGGGTGCAGCTCAAGGAGATTTGAATTCATTTAAAGTAGCAGCTTAGAGCAACACACAAGATAATCTAAAGAGGCCTTCAAGAACGATCTACCTGATGGTAAGTTATCTGCTTGCTCAGCCACGAATACTAGATGATATCCGACTAAGTAATACTCTAAGTACTAGAGAGTGAAAGAATGCTTCAGAATAGATCACTCAGACTCCTAGGCCTGAAAGAAGTTTCAAATATTCTAGGCAGCAATATTTAACTACCGTATTTTTTGCTCTATAAGACTCACTTTTTCCCTCCTAAAAAGTAAGGGGAAATGTGTGTGCATCTTATGGCGCGAATGCAGGCTGCGCAGCAATCCCAGAAGCCAGAACAGCAAGAGGGATCTCTGGTTTTGCTGCGCAGCGATCCCTCTTGCTGTTCTGGCTTCTGGGATTCAGAATATTTTTTTCTTGTTTTCCTCCTCCAAAAACTAGGTGCGTCTTGTGGTCTGGTGCGTCTTATAGAGCGAAAAATATGGTACTTAGGAAACCAAGTGAGTATCATTTTTTAACACACACCTAGAATCACATTATTCTGGACTAGTGAGCCAGTTAGCAGATTAAGAAGCAGATTTCCTATGGTTTGGCTCTTGTGTCCTCCCTATTCATTCCTCCCCTTGCCCCACATCCACCTCCCAACCCAGTTCATTCTTCAGCACATTCTCCTCACCTCCCCAACCCTGATATTTACATCCTTACCACACGTGTGCTTCTCTCTTCTCCTGCTACCTTTCCACACTCCCAAACCTAGATTCAAATTTGAGTCCATTTTCTAACTGCCCAAACGAACAAAAGGCAAAGCCTAAAGCACTCCAAGCAAAATTACATCTCACATTGCCCTAAACTGAAATCAGCATCTCCACTGCCAAAGGGATTAGAGAAATTAAGGATCTGTTCCAATCCCTACAACTGTATTGATGGCAACAGCAGCTACAGGAGTCTTCTTCTTTGGCGATCACTCCTAGCGTAGTGATCTCACATTACCAAGCACAGTCCACTCGGTAGCTAAACTGCCTTGCCAAGTAGAGCAGTCAGAGACGGGAGAAGGATATTTTCCGCTGCCTCCACCCGCACCTCCAACGCTTGACCCAAACAGCATCATCAACACTGTAGCTGGCATCATTGCTCCAGGATAGTAACACAGGAAGCTGCCTGATACACTGTCAGACCAATGGTCCATCCAGCTCTGCAGTGTCTGCAATGACTGGCAGTGGCTCTCCAAGGTTTAGAGAGAGGGCAGCTTCCCCAGTCCCAGCTGAAAACATTGGGGATTGAACCTGGGACCTCCTAAATGTAAAGCAGATGCTCTACCATTGAGCTACAGCTACACTTGAGCTACAGCTACACTACACCAATCACTACTGCTGCTGCTGCTACTACTACTACTACTACTAATAATAATAATAATAATACAGTGGTGCCCCGCAAGACGAATGCCTCGCAAGACGGAAAAACCGCTAGACGAAAGGGTTTTCCGTTTTGAAGTTGCTTCGCAGGACGAATTCCCCTATGGGCTTGCTTCGCAAGACGAAAATGTCTTGCGAGTCTTGAGATTTTTTTCGCTTTTCCCCCTTTATCTAATCTGCTAAGCCTTTAATAGCCTTTAATAGCCTTTTAGCAGCTAATCCCCTAAGCCTTTAAGCCTTTAATAGCCGCTAAACAGCTGATAGCGCTAATAGCGCTAATCCGTCAATGGGCTTGCTTCGCAAGACGAAAAAACCGCTAGACGAAGACTCTTGCGGAACGGATTAATTTCGTCTTGCGAGGCACCACTGTAAATTACTTATACCCTGCCCATCTAGCTGGGTTTCTCCAGCCACTCTGGGCAGCTCCCAACAGAATATTAAAAAATGCGCTAAAACATCAGACAATAAAAACTTCCCTAAACAGGGCTGCCTTCAGATGTCTTCTAAAAGTCAGATACTTGTTTATTTCCTTGGCATCTGATGGGAGGGCGTTCCACAGGGTGGGTGCCACTACAGAGAAGGCCCTCTGTCTGGTTCCCTGTAGCTTCACTTCTTGCAGCGAGGGAACGGCCAGAAGGCCCTCGGGGCTGGATTTCAGTGTCTGAGCTGAACGATGGGAGTGGAGATGCTCCATTAGGTATACAGGGCTGAAGCCGTTTAGGGCATTAAATGTCAGTACCAAAACTTTTAATCGTGCTTGGAAATGTACTGGGAGCCATTGTAGAACTTTTAGGACCTGTGTAGAAGTGCATTGCCCAAATGAGCTTCTATTTCTTTGTCATGTCAGTAGAGCAGAGAATGAAGCCACTATCTAAATGATACACAACTTACATAAATCCAGAGACCCATTACAGTAACAGCTGCCAATGCGGCAGCATTTGAAGTCTTCCCCTGGCATTCATGAAGCCTACCTACTCAGTGTCCCCCTTAGTCATGAGTTGGTGAGAATGGTTATCTTCTTCACCCTTTAAAAGTACATAAAGCTGGAGGAGGGAGTTAGAAGAGTAACACTTTACTCACTTTCCTTTTTCAGCACTTATTTAGCTTAAATTGCTTCTTTAAGTAGATTTTTTATTTCCCGAAATGCACACATTTAAAAATCCACATCTGATCATGTACTTGTAAGCTGCTTAAGAGTTCTTGTTTTCAATAAACTAGTTGTTTTAAAATTTTGTTAAATAAATAAATGTGCTCGGTACCCTTGCCTTGACCATATATGTTGCCAAACAGATGGCTGTCACAATTCGCTTGAACAGTAGAATCATAGAATCATAGAATCATAGAATCATAGAGTTGGAAGAGACCACAAGGGCCATCGAGTCCAACCCCCTGCCAAGCAGGAAACACCATCAGAGCACTCCTGACATATGGTTGTCAAGCCTCTGCTTAAAGTACCGAAGAAAGGATTTGTGGGGGAGCAACAGAGTAAAATAATTATAAGGGTGTACACAATTCCATCCCCACAAAATGAGCAATGGACATTCATGGCACACCACCTGCTGCTGCCCTCAACAATCTCTGGGCAAAAGTTGTATAATATTTATTGGCAGAGGAAAATATTTGGCACAAGTAACTAACTAGCATGTGGAAGACGCAAGTGCTACTTGAAAGCTAAACTTACATAAGAAAGGTCATAGAAAATTCATTGGCTCACAAACCGTATTTCCCTTGACCTTTTTACATAGGTTCTTATTCTTATAAGTTACGGAGAACATTTCCACAAAACATTTTTGCCCTTTCAAAACCCTTTATCGAAGACTAAACTAGCTGCTTTTTTCTAATCCCTTTTAAAGGCCACACAATCAGAAGTCACAACTGCAAGGAAAGCCTGTATTTACCTACCCATCTCATTCCATTAAGATTCCCTCAATCAATTTGACATGTGCCATGGAAGCATCTCACCTGAACAAGTTGACCCAGCAGGGTTTTGTGTGTTCCCACGAAATTTATTTCTCAGGGACACGTCACGAAAGGTTCTGTTACAACAGCCTTGCCCAACCTGGCTGTTTAGGACTCAAATGCCCATCAGCCCCAGCCAGCATAGTCAATGGAAAGGAATGATGGGAGTTGTATTCCAACAGCTACTGGAATGCACCAACAGTGGCACTCAGCCACCCTGCTCCCATTTGGGAGCCATCATGTGGAGAAGCGTATCTCTGACAAGGCCTTGAACTCCTCCAACCAGTCTCTCTGGGTGCAGGGTATTCCCAACCTTGCATATACCTTCTTCTCAACGCTAAGTATTATTTCCAAAACAGTAACACCCATGGTAAGGGACTATTACACCAGTCCAGAGGACTTGAAACACAAGGTATGTAGGTAGGTAGGTAGGTAGGTATTTATGAATGAATGAATGAAACACACCGAGATAGGAAAACTTCAGTAGTGAACACACAACTCACACAAGCAAACAGGTAAAATACTTTTAACTTTTCTACTAGTTCTGCCTTTGTGATATTGCAGTAAAGACTCATATATGCTAAACATTTAAAGTGGTATCATACCACTTTAAACAGTCATGGCTTCAGCCAAAGAATCCCAGAAACTATAGTTTGTTAAGGGTGCTGAGAGTGGTTGAGACCCTTTTTCCCATCGGAGAGCTACAATGCCCAGACATCCTGGGGAAAATGAATGACTGTTGAACAACTCTGAAAATTGTAGCTCTCTGGGGGAAATAAGGGTCTCCTAACATTTAGCACCCTTAACAAACTACAGCCTCTAATATTAAGTGGTGTGCCCTTAACAAATATGTACATATTTGGCTCTAACAAGTGAGCAGATGTGCAAATATGTGTTCTCCAGGCATTCCTTCCTGAAGCTGACAGCACCACCTCACATTTACTAATACGTTTTCATATTTCTGCCCTGATCTACCTAGGCGCATATTATCTTTAAGCAGCATCAGATTTGCAGAAAGGCAGGGTCTAAGTCCTATGTAAATCAAGATTAAAACTTATTTTAAAGTCCCTGATTAAACATTAATTCTGGCATCCAACAGCCTACATGCATTCCACCTACTACTAGTAAGAATTAATAAGTCTGTGAATGATCAACCAAATAAAAATACAGTCAAAGTATCCATGCACTGTTTAGGATTTTTTCTATTATTAAGTGCTCTAGAAATTCTCTGCAAATACATAAAAAATAACTTCTGCTATTGGAACAGCTTATTACTGGTGTCCAAGTCTTACAAAGATTAATGGACTGGGAGCGAGAAGTGCTTGGCCACGCCCTACTCTCCAGTCTCTTAACGCAAACCTCCAGTAGAATGAATTGCAAACTCCAACTAATTTGCTTCCTCCAATAGTTTGAAGCAAGAGCTGCCAACATGGTGCCTCCAAATGTTGCTAGTCTACAACTCCCATCATCCCGGATCGTTGCCCATGATGGCTAAAGGCTAACGTTGTTGGGAGCCAAACAACATTTGGAGGGCATGTTGACTTAACCCTGATATACACTAAAAGAGCAACATTTGTTAACAGGTTAAAATGTTGGATATGGCTTAGGGATATGACTGAGATGACCAAACAGTTCAACCAAAAAGATTTGACTAAAATCTACAGGTTCGCTGGTAGCTGACCTGAAGTTCAGGGTGCCCTTCCATTGCTGTTCATATACTGAAAAGTTTTCCGAGTAGTGGATAGCTGATTGGATGTAGTGATTTTAAAACTGAATATATGACTGAATAATAAAAGAGGTGATTGCTGCATTACTTGAAGCCACTGTGACAATCTTTACCTGGATCCATTTTTAAGAGGACCCAAGACTTAGGGTTGCTGGCTAGCTTGTATTCTTAGCTCTAATTCTACATACAGCTTTGTGTGGGTGTGTGAATCAATTCCGCTATTGTTATTTTTCTCCTTTTCTACATCAAAAAAGTGGTGTAGCAAAAAGCAAAGTTTCTGATTGAACACAAAGCATTTCTACTTTGTTAGTATTCAGTTCAGGACCTGCACAATACAGTCCTAGCCACGTTCATATTATTTTACCTTTTAAAAACAGTTATCTGTAAAATTGCATGAGAAACACTGCAAAACAGAAAGTGACTATCTGCCATATTTTGAGCCCAACTATTGCACACCCAGCAAAGGGGATGGGTAGGGTATCTGTGCACTTGACTTCTGTTCACAGAGCAGAACCCAACCGCTTCTTATCCTACCCCTTCCAGCCTCCATGCCCCCCAAATCTGCTCTGGAGATCTGAAGGAAATCTCATTGTGAGGGGGGAGGAGGCACTCACACAAAATTGGATATCATCCATTCAGCCCAATCGAATCCTGTTAAATTATACAGTTTATTTGACGAGATATTACAGGTAAGATTTTGCCAAGCCGTCTTTATAAATATACACACTTACTATTTTTTTCTTCTCAGCTTTTAGAACTTCTAAAGCTTCATCTGAAGAAGAAGATTTAAATCAATATTTAATACCAAGGTGACATGTCAAATATGCATGCATATGCAATAAATAAAAACATTCATACTCTGAATTTGAATACAATATGTTGGCCAGCATTCGAGTATAACATTAGCAAACCCCCTGTCTCTTGGTTAATTAATGGAAGAGTTTTTTAAGATGCATCATCATTCACAAGCAGTTTACCATTTTTACTGCAACTGAATGTGGTGAATTATGAACCCTTTTAATGTAACACTTTATCAATCAAGCTGCTATTAGAACTAAAATTGTTTTGACCCATCATAAGAACTTCAATAAAAAAGGCAAAAATATTGATGTGAAGCTGTGGATGAAGGCATGCCACTTAATAAAGATGTGAATTTGGCTGAAGGTTAAGTAAGAGTATTGCAATGAGTTATACATATTAAACATGGGGCTACCTCCGAAGATGGTTTGGAAATTTCAGTTGGTGCAGAATTCAGTGGCAAGGCTGCTCACCAAGGCAGGATGGTTTGAGCATATAACACCAATCCTAGCCCTAATGCACTGACTGTCAAATAGTTTCCAGGCCCAATTCAAACTGCTGGTTTTGATCTATAAAACCTTAAATGGCTCAGGATTGCAATACCTCAAGAACCACCTCTCTTCATATGAACTGACCCAGATCCTGAAATCATCATCCAAGGCCCTTCTTCCTCCATGAGACGCCCAGAGAGTGTCAACATGAGAACGGGCTTTTCTGTGATGGCTTCCCATTCATGGAATGCTCTTCCCAGGTAGACTCACCTGGCGCCTTCATTACATACCTTTAGCTACAAGGAAAAAACATTCCTATTCTCACAGGCCTTTAGCAAATTAATCTATGGCCTTTTAGACTGGGGTGTGTGTGTTGTTTTGTCTGTTATAATGTTATATATTTTTGTGTTTTTATACTGCACACAGCCATGATCATTTGATGGAGGGCAGTACTGTATATAAATTTCGTAAAATAAAATACAAAAATAAAAATAAGCTTCTCAATATAAACTGTTAAATGTAACCCCCAGAATTAGTGTGCATTATCAGAAATTCACAATTAATAAAATCTCTTTTTGCCTAAACAAGTTATTGCTAGTCGGAAAGCCATTCTACTGAGATATAAGAAAAGAAACACTATAAAAATGCAGTTTTAACACTTTGCTAAACCTCTTTGGGGGCGGGGATGGAAATGCATGTGGGATTTTTCATTAAGTTAACACTATTCCATTTTCAAACTCAATAAACTCAATGTGGGAAGCCACTATCAAAGTAGCAGTAAAACTTATCTGTTGCAAGCCGTCTAGTGAGGGGCTGTATTAATTCTGTAAAGGGCCCAGCACACCTACAGAGTTTGTGGAGCAGTAGGCTTTTAAGGGTTTAAGCAGAAAGGAACGTGTACAGATGCAGTAATGAACAGAGAAACGTCTTGCGAAGGGCATCAAACTGTGAAATGTAACAGGTTTGTTATAAAGCAGCCTTTGCCAACTTGGCATCCTCCAAATGTTCTGGACTACATGTGGTGGTGGCTAATGGGACTTACTGTCCAAAACATCTGGAGAGTACCAGGCAGGCAAAGGCTATTATAAACCATTCAAACGAGGTTCTGGGCTGTTTGGAAATAGAGAGAGCTAATGCAACAAAGGGACTGGATGTTACATGAAACTGGAAAAACCAGGTTGGCATCTTCACCGTGAAGCTTGCTAACTGGCCTTGGGTAAAATCACTCTCACTGGGTTGTTGCAGTTTTAAGATCCAAGGAAGAAAGGCATATCAGAAGTGAACAAGTAACTTTTACAGTCACTTATGTTGCAAACAATGCTTACGCCTATGTGACTGTGAATATGGCAAAAGCACAACAGATTTCAGCCACTAGCATGAGAGAGGCTGCATAAGAAATAACTCTCAAACCTGGGGTTCCTCTCATTTCCCTAGGAAGCCCATGGGCTCAGTCCACATTACCTCCAGGTAGATTTGCCTTAGCTAAGGAAAGATTTCTTCTGCCATTTTCCCTTTTTTAAAAAAAACATTTAAATGAGAAAGGAAGAAGCAACATCTGTAATGAAAAGCCATTGCTCCAATCACAACTGTCCTTGCAGAAGCAACAGCAAGTTCTTTGGTGCCATGGTAACCCTAGGTTTTGGGCAAAATTCATTAACGAGCAGAACTTAAAAGTAGCAAAATAAAGAGAGGAAGCTGCAATTAATTTTTTAACCTGCACTGCTGTCATGACATCAATACAGCCTTTGAGAGTCAATTCCACCACCTGAGTTCTAACTCACCTTTTAAAAGAATTTATCAGTCATAGACCAACAAAAATTAAGTATAAGACTCTTATCAGGTTCTCGGGGAACTGAATCATGTTTAACAGTAGCACATGGGATTCTAAACCAGACCCTTTCTGCGGGCACAATTGCCATGCAAGTGAGGACAACAAAACCAGGCACTCTTTAATAACCAAGGGAAGAAAAGGGTCTTCAGTAGGTTAACCTAGGACAGTCCTGCTAAGGCTGCATCCAACTTCAGATTGAATCCATATTGTTGTTGCTCTTGTTATTATTAGACATCTCAACTTCCTTCCAAAATGAAGTTGGTTCCCATTCCTCTCACCATTTTAGCTTCACAACAATCCTGAGATAGGTTAGACTCAGAAATAGTGTCTGAGCATATATTTCTCCAGTACTCCAGTCCAACGTTCTAATAAACACCAGACCACACTGGCTGCTTCATAACTCAGAACAAACACATACTTCCTTAATTCCAGTGATACTTTGATATATATTGGGTACAATACACGAGTATCTAAAATACTGTGAATTTACCAAAAGATAAATTAGTCATAATTACTTTCTATTAATATAGCAAGATAAGTGTATTTAAATATCCTTTGCTATTCAGCTTTCAGACACATTTAAGTACCTAACAATTAATCCATTCATCTTCAAAACATTTTATATTCATTTTCCATTTTATAGCTGACTATAAGGTTGAGTAGATTTCCTGAAGTCTTAAAAGAAACTCACTCATAAATCTCACCTACAAAACCATCCACAAGGTATTTTAACACGAGACAACTAAAGGTTATGTAATTGTATCTATACAGTCCCATGGCTTAGGCTAACACAATTTGGGGGTGGGAGGTGGATAAGGAAAAATACACTTACTGTTTCTTTCTGTTCTTTTAGAAAAGAAGAAAATGAGGAGTGTTCTTATGAACCAAATTCTGTGGGGAAAGAAAGAATTTCCACTATTAAAATCTAGGCAAAAGGAAACTGAATGTGCTATTCTTCACTATGGATGGAATTAACTTCCTCAGCAGACTTTAACATAACTTAATCTAAAACTTCACAATTAATGCTAGTCTCAAAAAGCAACTAGGGACAAATCAGCTTGCTTCACAGAAACCTCATTTAATATTAGCAGAATGAGTTCCTTACATGGATTGTTTTAAAAGTGTTTAAAAGAAAGAGCGTTTAGATTGCAAAACAGAATCCCTTGAGTGCAAAGTAAGTATGTGAATGATAACAGTGATCCAAACAAGCCCATGCCCCAACTTGGACATTTATACTGTCTAGACTTTCAGATCACTTTCAGAAAACCATAATTCCTTCCCAGTTGTGAAAACAAGGTCCAGAGTGTGGCCTGTCACATGCATTAGGCCAATGACATGTTGAGACATCCCCATGGCTGTCATGGCCGCCATAAAGTCCTGAGCCATCCCAAAGCCAACCGCATTGGCATGAATGTTGAAGTCCCCCCAAAACCAGCAGTCTGAGAATCCTTAGAGAGGAGAACTGCTGGGCAGTGAGGTGGGTGGTAAACCAGCAGAAACCCTAACCTGTCCTGCTTACCCAGCATCAGGATCAAACAACCTATTCTCTTACATTATCTCAATTCTTTACTGCATTCATAGATCTCCTTTCCCAATTGTCAAAACCACTCTGAACACTGAACACAGTACTCCATAGGAGACCTGATCAATGCTGAACAGAGCAGCAGTTGTAACCTTCTAAGTCCGGGGCGGGGGAGGGGGGGAATGATCCTGCTTAAGCAACTCCCTAGTTGTTAGACAACACAAAGACCTAAGCACTTGAACTCCTGGCTTTTACCCCCTCCCCTTACTGAAGTACAGTGGTATGTCGGGTTAAGTACTTAATTCGTTCCAGAGGTCCGTACTTAACCTGAAACTGTTCTTAACCTGAAGCACCACTTTAGCTAATGGGGCCTCCTGCTGCTACCACGCCGCCGGAGCACAATTTCTGTTCTTATCCTGAAGCAAAGTTCTTAACCTGAAGCACTATTTCTGGGTTAGCAGAGTCTGTAACCTGAAGCGTATGTAACCTGAAGCATATGTAACCTGAGGTACCACTGTACTACAAAACTACTGTGTGAAAGACAGGCAAAGGGTCTCAGCAGGCCTTATGCTCAAATTGTTCTGAACTGCAAGCTCTGTTCATTGTACAGCAAACAACTTCATTATGAGTAGAACTCAGCCCATACCTACACTATTATCAGTTTGACCACGACAGCCATTTTATCATGGAAAAACCAGCAGCCTCAATATACTTTGTCATGCCAAAACAGTCCTTTGGCTTGGCCCCGACACAATACAGGCTGACCAATACAATGAGGCGTTTTTGAAAGTCACACTAGATCAAGTGTTTTACAAGCAATTTCCTTCTATGAATTGCAAAACACCTTTTGCACAAGATGCATGATCAAGGAAAGGACTATTTAGGTGTAAGTTGAGAAGCATAAATGTTTTTAGCAATCACTTCTTTTTTCCAAGAGATCAGCAGATCAGAGAAGTATTAATGTTTCGATTACTATTTTAGTATGCAGAGTCAAAAATGAAGGTTTATTTTCAAAAATTTATTCAAGAAAATCCTTGCATAATGAATTTGTACAATGGTTTAGATTTAAAGAAGTAAAACCATGTTGTTATTTTCTCAACTTTTCAAACAGGAATTGAAATGCAGGCATCTAGTTAGGCAAACTACATATTCCTGGAAGCCAGCTCATTTTGCCAGCACTAGTAACACAATCAGACCCTCGAGAGTAAGCCAAAACAGCAACAACTGTTGCTGAACAGGGAACAACTGCCAACTGGAAAAGGCAGGCTTAATTTACTTGCTTAAGGATGAAAAACATCTAGAACTAGTGCTGGGGATCACACCAGATGTACAGTGCAGCTCCACAACTTGACCACAAACAAAGACAAGTTGGCAACTCCTTACCAATCATTCATTTCCTGCGAAGAGGAAAACTAAACTATTCTGGGGGCAGACGAAGAGTTCGACTGCATTTTTTGCAAGTCATACAAGTCGAAATTTAAGTTCTGGGCCACATATCTCCAAACATACCTGAACACTGAAATGCACTGAAAGATCCAGCAAAAGACTCAGCAAACAGCAGACACCAGTGTCTTGAACAGTGACAACACACCCTTCGCATTAATTATCAACATGAAAGTGTTCAGGGGACACTTGCTCCCTATATGCCGCCATTAACAGTAAGTTCTGAAAGGTCTGTCTCAAAACAGATTGCTAACAAAAGTGTGCAAAATTATTGCATCATAAGGTGCTTTGCAATAAATTCTCAAGGAAACATACAAAAATTGAAAATAATAAAACCGTACTACAAGAGACAACCAGTATAAAAGACAAATACAAAACCAGCACAGCAATACACCAAAAACAGCAGAAAACTAAAACAATCTTCAAATGCACACTAAATTTCCAAGCATAGCACAGGGACTTAAAAACAAGTTCTTAAAAGGCCTACTAAGAGAACAGAAAAAACTTAACCTGGCGAGGAAAAGACAACTTATGAGGGCACCAGGTTAGCTTCCTTGGGGAGAATATTTCATACCCAGAGGCAACCATTATAAAGGTCCTCTAATATTAAATGTAAATAAATTTGGCTTGGACCAGGCAGGGTAAGTAAAAATATGGGTACACTTGAAATATAAATTTCCCACTAAATAGTTTCACTAGTAACAACAGACTCAAAAAGCAACCAATTGTGTTACATAAGCATTAGATTCCTATGCATTAAAAACCCAAAGGAGTGTCCCTATGATCAGATTATCCAACTGGGTCGGTCTGAGTAGATTTTGCTAACTAATCACTTGCTGTTCATGGATGCTGGACTTTTCAAATAGCAATACAGATTTGCATTTGCCACATCCTCAAACAAAAATGACCTGGGTCTGGCATCTAACAAACAAGAAAATAGCTCATATAAAATAAAGTTGTCAAATAACTTAGAATAGTGAATTATTAATTTTTAAACAATAGACTGCATTGAGGAAGTAAATTGTAATTGAGGAAGTAAATTGTAGTGGCCAGTTTCTCAGAGTAACTTTTCCCCTTCTCTCTAGAACAGGATCCAACTCTTAACCTAATTTCATTTAAGTAGGGAAGTCTGAAGGGGGAAGGGTAGGGAAGCCAAAATTGACAAAACTCTGTAAAGGGTTGCCTCAGTGCCTATATTTTCTGCCCACACCAGCTGTATCTTCTCGAAGTCCATCAGTCCAATATTCCGAACTGCCCTCATTATGTGTTTCAGTTAACTTTTATGTGCAATGATGTTGCCGCTTAAAATGGGTTAACTTAAAAGCTATTCAGAAATCAAAATAATTACCTTACACTTCAGAAATCTGCTCTTTCAGAAATATGCCCACCAGTTTAGATTTCAATGACAGCCATCAACTCTGATGGCTTTAAAAGAAGATTAGACAAATTCATAGAGGACCTTAGAAAATGGCAACATAATTCTGCATACCAATTTCTGGGGTACCCAAACAGAAGAGTGCTATTGCCCTCATGTCCTGCTTGTGGGCTTCCCAAAGGCATCTGGTGAGACAACATGGAAGACAAGATGCTGTGCTAGCAAGGCTTTGGTCTGATCCACAGGTCTCTTCTTATGTAGAGATATTCTGCTACATTAACCTTTTCAAAAACCGCCTGTAAATTATGACAACCCTAGAACTGTGAAATATATACACCCTGTACTACAACTCACTAAGCATCACCACTAGAAAAAAGGAGCTTGCAAAGAAGTCATGTTTTACTTACATCAGCGGAAATGCAAACAGTGGAAGAGTCATGACGAACCTTGCTGTCCACTCATCAGGCAGATACCACAAGTAGATAATTAGACAGCTAATAAGGTAGAGAACAGATGAATAGAGGATAAACCTTCCAACCCATAGCTTCTGCTGCCTCTGGTTTTTCTCTCTAAACTCTTCTAGTGCCTGGATATCCTGTAAATTAAAAACAAATCTTTTGAGCATTTAACCTCATGTGCCAAGATTGTACATTCCAGCCATTTTATCTTGAGACAGAAGAATGAAGTCAGGTACTGTAATGAATATACTTAACATCCTTGGTTTATTTAACCTAAGGCATGATGTGATCTGTGAGTGGTGTGCAGCAACACACATGCACAGCCCTCGCACAAGGGCAATCTTCTGCACACTGCGCATGGGGAAGCAGGGAGAAGCATAGGGAATCCTGTGATTGGGAGGAAGATGAATGAAATTATGCTGGCCTTATCAACCCAAGGTTTTCACTATATTTTTTCGTATTTCTAAAATAAGTACTATTAAGCTGAATTTAAAAATCCCCTGACCTGGATAACACAATATGCCCGGGACAATGATAGAAACAAGGAAAGTGTGAAGTTTTAGCTTTCATGTGAGGTTATTTTCCAGAATCGCTGTGGACTCAGTACATCAGATGGCCAATATTCCCTGCCCCCATGTAACATCCTGATCCTAACCATTTTTACTTTGAAGCCGTTTCCATCGATTTTGATGGAACTGCAGTCCTAGGAAGTATCATTGGCTGTCATATAAGGCTTGTGAATAGCCAGTTACTTGGAGTAACCAACGATCATGTAAGCATTTGTAAATTAAAAGGAGAGTTGACTGTTCTTCTAAGCACTGACTGTGCTAACAATTACTATGTGGGTGGGCAGGCATGGTCTTAAATCAGACATAGGCAAACTTGGCCCTCAAGATGTTTTGGGACTACAACTCCCATCATCCCTGACCACTGGTCCTGTTAGCTAGTTTGCCTATGCCTGTCTTAAATTGTTGGCATTTGGAACAAGGGTGGCAGGGACAGCATCCAAAACAGCAGTTGGTTTGCTGTTTCCCTGCACACTCTTTTCCCCTTATTTGAATCATGGTCAGTGTCTACAATGATATGCACCCACATAATGTATGCTGTAAACATCGGCCCAGTTTGCACGTCACTTTAGACAATAGCTAATTTTTAAACAATGGCTTAAGCAGCAGCATGTCTCAGTTTGTTGCTCATTCACATTAAACCATAGTTTAAAATGAACTGCATGTTTAATGCAACAACCAAAACAGGTCTTTCTGAACAGATTTTTAGACCCCTAACAACCGATTATCTGAGAAGGTACAGCTGATATCAAGTATATTAAAATTTGTGATCTATTTGCCATTCCTTCATAGAACCAGCCTTAATGTATCGACAGTGTCCAATTCCAACCATAAAAGGCAACTGCTGACACTTGAAATAAGAGCTAAATCTAAGATTCTTAACATTAAGGCAAGCAATAAGAAATCAAACATACCTTATCTATTTTTTCCAATACTTCTATTGTGGAAGACTTTGTCTGCTTACAAGGGAAAGAAAAAAAGCTGTGAAAATTTGCCCTCAATATCTAAGTAATAATAAACATATAGCCAACAACTTAATATAAGATATGTAGGAAAATGTAATGATTAGCACTACATAGAGTACTGCACTACATATCTTCAAACCTCATTTTGAATATTACCATCCTAAGTTCCTCAGTCCCATCATGCAAACATAATATATGCCACAAGTGACAAACAACAACATACTTAGAGAAAAATTTAAAACAAAAGCCTCACAATTTTTCCAATAATCAAATATCGCTCCCTCAGATTATATGAGGAAAGAAGCGCAATATGAAGACCATCATCAACATTTACAGAGTAGTGGAGGAATTTCAAGAGTAGCACATTCTATACCATACACACATAGAACAGCATTGGTCTTATGGATCAAAGATGTGGTGCACAAATGCAGTAGATCATTTAAGAATATGTGAAAGTTCACCAGGAAGTGAAGAAAGTTGTGAAACTGAAAATGTATGAACAGATGAAGAAAGGGGGAAAGAAAATAAATAAGCACAGGGAAATTTTTAATTGATTCTCATATTTGAAAGTAGCCTTTATATAATAAAACCATGGCACATATATTTTTCAAAGTTTGTTCTCTCATCCCTGCTTATTCAAATTCAGCAAACACACCACCATGCTGCAAATAAGCAACTGAAAGGAGGAACCTGGTGAACCTTCCTTGAAATTGTTTGAATGTCCTTAGGTCTTTAAAAAAAAAAAATGTGGTTTTTGGCTCAATACAGGAAGGTGAAAATAAACTTGAGAAGAACACAATGGACTATTTGAAGATAGACTGTACCTGCCTGATCTTAATCTACAAAAAAGCAAAAAATAGAGAACATGAGACTATGGTTGGAGACAGATTTGCATTGGCAGAAAGAGCTAAGATACTAGGGACACTCCAGGAGGAATGGGCTGGAGGCGTAACTTGCACCAGTTCCTCCTTCCCCTTGGCCGCTCCTCTGACCCTCTGAAGCAGCTTTTCAGGGGAACAGGGATCTACAGGGGGAAATCAGGGGAAACGGTTTCACCTGCTTCTACAGCAAAATATCTCATGGGCAGGGACATCTATGCAGAAACATGGACCCTAGGCAACTATAGGTATGCATACCTGTGTACACACATGCACTCTAGTCTCCCGTTCTCTCTCAGTGATAGTTAAAAGGAGATAAACTAGATTGAGGAACAGGTAACTTGTAGTGTTCGGAAAATGTTTAAAGTTCTGCTAAACTGCATCATGATCTTGCACACAAGCATACGAAAGTGATTGGATCCTATGCCTTAACACGCTAACAAATGAGGAAGGGACATTGGCAGCATGATTGTTCAGTGGTAAGTTTCTTGACATTCCTACAATAAACAGTGCTGAGGGTAATTTTTGGTAAGATAAATTTCTTGTGTAATCAACAGGGCAAAAACACAATGACTGCAGTAATTGAAGATTCTTTCTCCAACGTGATAGCCAGTGCTATAGAGTGGCAGCGCTCTGGGCTAGGGAGTAAAGGTAAAGGGACCCCTGACCATTAGGTCCAGTCATGAATGACTCTGGGGTCACGGCGCTCATCTTGCTTTATTGGCCAAGGGAACCGGCATACAGCTTCCGGGTCATGTGGCCAGCATGACTAAGCTGCTTCTGGCGAACCAGAGCAGCACACGGAAATGCCGTTTACCTTCCTGCCGGAGCAGTACCTATTTATCTACTTGCACTTTGACGCGCTTTCAAACTGCTAGGTTGGCAGGAGCAGGGACCTTCTGATCGGCAAGCCCTAGGCTCTGTGGTTTAAACCACAGCGCCACCCGCGTCCCTCCTGGGCTAGGTAGACTTGGGTTCAAATCTCAGCTCAGCAACTGAAGTTTCCCAGATGCCCTACAGTATGTCAGTATTATCTGCAGTGTTCAGAACAAGAACCAACTATGTGTATAGTTATGAGTCTATAGAGCTGAGCTGCTTCAGGGAAGAGGAGGGAAGCAAATATGGCAAATATGGACACATATCAATCCATGTACAAATTCTCACATACAACAGTGTTAACATCTTCTTGGTACCTTAGTAAAAATACTTTTTCCTTCATGCATGAAGGAGCCTCATTCCTTATTTAAGTCAATGAGTCTTTTCTAGAGTAAGTGAAGTATGAAATTTGCTCACTTAGGTAAACATACGCCACATATACAAAATACACCTGCAAACCAACAGCACTATGTTCTCTATATGACTAAGAAGAAGGCTGTTGCCTTATGTCCAAGCATAGGAAGAATTGTCATATATTATTTATATATTTCAGTGCTCAAGGCAGCATCTGTAAGCCACAAGTATCTTAACCAAGGTAGACATAGCTTTCACTTAATTACATTTTCAATCTCAGTGCCAAAGAAAACTTACTTATTTGTTTATAAAGAATGCTCATAGCCCAGAGAGGCTCTCAAAGTGTGTGGCACAAGGAACAGCCATAACATAGCCGCATGCTATGGACCGTAGCTCAGTGACAGAGCATCTGCTTTGCATGCAAAAGGTCCCAGGTTCAATCCCTGGCATTTCCAGGTAGGACTGGCAATGTCCCCTGTCTAAAATCCTAGAGAGCCACTGCCAACCAGCGTGGATCTCCACCTTCTATTGAAGTATGCACTGATGACCAAAGCAGAGGTAGTGGGGCCAATAAGCTGGAACATGCTCAGCTCATGATGGAGGCAAGCCTTTCCTTTCTTGAACTGAGAAATAGGCTACTTTCCAATGATATTTAAGGGTTTACCTATGCCGGTTCAGTGCAATCTTATTGACAATTCAAGTGAACACCAAGGGAATTCATTCAGGTGCTCTCAACAGGCCATCACCTTGACTAATTTTAGCAGGATTGGGATTTAACAACTCTAATCCGAGCTACTGTCCTCGCAGCCAGAGCTCCCCTTCCCCCTCTCTGATCTGTAACACAAGGGTGATGATAATGGCCTACTTTACAGGGTTTTTATAAAGCTGACTGATAATATATATTCTGAATACTAAGCAAGTACTATTTTTTGTTCATGGTCCAAAAACAGTTAAATGTGATCCAAAACAAATAAAGGTGGGCTTCTCATTAACAGAAAGGCCGTGCTGCTCCACAGGCTATTTTTCAGAGGTCACAAAACTGGCATACGAACACTCAGCAGATTTCATGCCAACAAATACTTTTTTTTATAGACAATGAACAGCTACATAATTAGTGCTTGACTGTTGATGGCATACTCTTCCAGATCTTCTGCCCAAGGCATCTCCTCCAAATAGAACTAAATACAATCCCAACAAAACAAAAAATATACTTAAGCCCACTGACTTTAACTTACAGAGAGTGCAATCCTATCTCTTTTCAGGCAGTGGTATGACAGGAGTATAGCAGCAGTGCCACTAAGCTGGCCAGGGTGGAAGTTGGAGGGTGGGGGGAATAAACCCCTGCTCCACACTAGGCCCGCTCGAAGCTGGCATAACAATCAGGCCTGATGCTATTGGGTGGTGACAATGGGGACACCCAGGGTCCAGCAGATCCCAAACCAGCTCAGCCCCACCCTCTCCCCTGGAACACCTCGTTTTGGTACTTTCCATGGGCTACTGCCAGTGGGAACCCAACTGGCAGGCACAACCGGGAACTCTGCGTCAGAGGAGTGACAACAGCATCACTCCATGGCTGGAGGCTGATGGAGCTATTTTGGGCTGGGTGGAGGGAGAAGTCTATCCTGTTCTACCCTATCCTTTCCCAGCACAGCAGATTATGTTTTGCAATTGCAGCCCAAGTACAGGTAACTTTATCTTGCATTCTTGCCACCGTTCGGGGAAAAGACAGCTACTTTGGGCACATTTTGAGACCTGTGAGAAGTCATTCTGCAATGTAAAAATTTCGGTCTCATGTTTTGTTTTGAAGGCACACCATTCAAACAGAAATAGGAGTACCTTAAGACAGAGCCAGTACACTGATAAAGTACCATATGTGCAATGAAACTAAGACAAATTTCTTGACCTAGGCACGCCAAACAAGTTCTGTACTCTGCTCTGCATCACAGCAAATTACTTACAAGCAGCATTTGAGACAGTGTTCTTGCATTACAAAAATGTGCACCTCTAGGTGAGAAGATTTACTTACCCGCCATCTGGAAATGATTCCACCCATTTCTATATTTGTGAAGACAGGTCGTTTTGGTAACTTATAACCAATCTTGTAATGGAATTCACAGCTAGAATTAAAGCATTTGTGTTTAATTAAAAATACACCAGCAGTGTAATCCAAGAAGTATAAAGATATTTCAAACAGCATTCTAGTCACCCACACAATTACATGACAAAACATAAACGGCCTATAGTTTCCATATTTTCCATCACATTCTAACTTAACATACATGTGTTTCACGTTATGCTTCAGATTGCATATTCTGTTTTGCAAATCTGAAGTCATTAGAAAACCCACACCCTACAATACCACATAGCCAGAGAAGTACTATACAATTCTACTCCATAAATTATAAGCAAATCTTAAAATTAAAAGCACGTTACCAATCAGTTAGGTGACTAGGATTAGTAACTGCAGATCTACAATGAGATGTCTAAGAAATGAATAATATTTTGCAAGAATTTCAATATTAATTTTATTATGAACTTTGTGCAAGTATCAGAGAAATGTTATTGAAATTCAAGACTTCCATTAATGCAAATATGGTGTAAGACAACTCAAATTAATTCACTTGCCTCAAAGTATTTTTAATGGTACTTCAATTTCTTGGCATAATGGCCAAGAGAATCTAGAATACCTGTCAATGCAAATTGTGGAACAGGGTTTCTGACATGGGGGTTTCTCTGCAAGCTGGACAGAAAGCACCACATCGTATCATAATAGCCTACACATGCCACTCAAAAGGCTGTAATCATAAACACACTTACCTGAGAGTAAGCCAAATAAATGGGGCTTACCTCTGAGTAGACATGTATAGAATAGAGCTGTCAGTCAGTCACTAACTAATAGGATCAGAGCAATTATTTGTGTTTCCACAATAGAAACGAGTGGTCTTATTGCCAGCAGGAATGAAAAGAAAGAAAATCTTCCTAGATGGTGTCCAAGAAATTAACATTTTTAACTTTTATAAGTTAAGGTAATTTTAAAAACAAGTCTATGCAGATTTATTCCGATAAAGCTACCAAAACTTATTCATATGCTAGAAAAGAACACAATATCAATCATGGATGCTTCAAGGCTAGTAATTATTTTCTTAGACATGAGGAGAGGGGTTAATGTTACACAAACATTAACCTTTACCCCCCAAAAATGAAAACAGGTATTTTATAATAATTACTTGTACTACTCAGAAATATAAACTTAAACTAAATCATCGTAATCCATCTAACAAAAAGAGTTCTTTCCTATGTAAAAAAAATACAGCTTAGGCCCAGGCTATCTGAAGGACCTGCCCAAGCTCTGAGATGTTCAGTAGAGGCCCTTCTCCCACCACCTTCACAGGCACATTTGGTGGGAAGATGGGAGAAAAAGGCCTTCTTGGTAGCTGTTCCCAACTTTGGAACTTCCTTCTTAAAGAAGCTATACGGGCTCCCTCTTTGCTGTCCTTCCACTGGCAGATGAAGGCTGCTTAATTCTGACAGGATTGGGGGAACTGGCTGTTTTTAAGGAAAGAGAATTCATTCGTTCGTTGAATTTATATACCGCCCTATACCCAGAGGTCTCAGGACGGTTCACAGAATAAAATCAAAATAAAAAATCACAAAATACATAATAAAAATAAAAACAACCCAATAACCCCCCAAAACACATTTTAAAAGGGCTGTGCTGTTTTTACTATCTGTATGTCCATAGATTTGCTTTTACAGTATATAGTTTTAATTCTATAATACTTTAACTACTTCTTAAGCATTGTCATTTATATATTTTTAGCTTTTTTATTTTATCCATGTTGTTTGAATTTTTGTAAGCTGTCTTGAGTCCCGGTTTGGGGAAAGGGCGGAATATAAATAAAATTAATTAAATAACAAACAAACAAAAGAAGAGATTTTTCCTTCCTGATAGGCTACAGTCCTATATAATCTCACTTCTTACTAAGTCCTACTGAACCCAACAGAGCTTGCTTCTTTCTTAACAAACATGTATAGAATTGCATTGCATGAATTATGACACACTAAACCTTATATGGTATTTATGATTGCACACTTGTTACTGGACTCAGGAATCAATGGATCATCATCAAGGCTGCTACCCTAAACCGAGGGCTTCCTAACCATATATAGCTTATCCCGAAAATGTATTTACAAAATGTAGGCATGGAGGCTGTAAACTAAAGCAACTATACAGCTGAGGAGCAGCGGATAGTTTTAACACATTTTTATCTTCAAGTTGCAACACTTTCAACATTTACTTCATCATCAGGGAACATTCCTTGTGAGGTCAGAAATAGTTTGGGATGCTGAAGAAAACATTATTTGAGTATTTAAATCACTGACAAGCCACAATTTCAGCAAAAATAGATCTGGGCAATTACTGAAAAAACATGTAAGCTTTGAAGTGGGTAAATTACTAACCCAAAGGAACAATGCCAGAAGCAGAAGAAAATGATATATTTAAGCTATTATAACATGTCTAATTCCAGAGTGGACACCAAATGCCTGTACTTGTTCTCAAACACATGACAGATACTATAGTTATAGACTGAAAATTAATAAGATGCTATCTTAAAATCACACAGGGTGACAAAGAAGCAAAATGGTGGGGTTGCTTTGGGCCTAGGCAGTTCACTGGGAAGAATAGGGCAATGTTTTTTTCTCACTAACCAAGGCAGAAAGCCCAAACAGGATGACTACTCCTGGTTCCTCCACCACTAAACACCCCCATAAAAATCAGTGACTTGTTTCAGCCAGTAACGACACACACTTTTAAGGTCCCTTAACTAATGTTTCATACTTGACAGCAGCTAATCCAAAATACGCTCTTCCTTTTGAATCAGTACCAAGACCAGAAAAATCAAAAGTTGCCCTCATGCTTAAGTAACCAGATTTGGGTCTAGAGCACATAAAATGTATGAGATATGGGGGTGGGGGTGCCTATGTAGTGCATACTTCACCACAACCAGAATCCTTCCTTACACAACTTTCCTCCCCTCGCTGCATCACATTTACACAAAATAAACTGTGAAACACGCCAAATCATTTAAAATTTACCAGAAGTGTGTAAGGCCATATATACACACATATATAGAGGTATGTACACACACACACACACACACATATATATATATATATATATATATACACACACACACAGTTACGTGTGTGTGTATATGTGTATATGTATAAATGTGTGTGTGTAGATAGATCGTATGTGTATATATGTATATAATTTGTGTGGGTGTGGGTGTGGGTGTGTATAGACACACACACACACACAAATGATCCCTGATTATGATCGCCTTTAAAACATAGGTAGGAGGGAGAAATTCAGGTAGTTATGGTGGCCCATTAGGAAAACTCCCCCCAAGCAACTGTAGCAAAGGCCGCATGCTGTTTTGGGATTTAAATTAAAACGTGATCACCAAGGATGCCTCACCCTGGCCCAAAATCTATTTTCAAAACCAGGCCTGCGAAATTGTTAAAATCCACGCCTCTAAACATGCAAAGAGTTCCTGGCACCGCCCCCTTCCCCCCCATATTTTACTCCTATTGAATTCAATGGGTCTTGCTCCCAGGTAAACTGGGTTAGGGCTGCTGGGCTAACGTTGCTCCCACGTATTCAGGATTAATGATCAGGACAGGCGGTGGCGAGGGGAAGGTATTTATACTCTGGCAAATCTCTCTCACTCAGTCTGGACGTGGACCTTAACAGGTTCACTGGGCCGAATTCTGACGAGCTGACTGACCCAACTCCCCTTGTTTTGCTTTCCTGAGCCGCTGCCCCCTTCTCCCCCCCCCCGCCTTGAGCTCCACAGGCCGCCTTCGGCTACTACTTTTACCAGTTTCCCACACGACCTCCCCCTGCCTCTCTCCCCCTCCGAGTTTCCCCTCAGCCAGGCTCGTTCCTCCTACAGACGCCACGAACACACCTCTTTCTCTGCGCCTCGGTTTTGAACGCGCACCTTCCCCGCCCCGCTGGAAGCCGCACTGCCGCGAGGAGGAGGAGGAGGTGGACGGGGCTCGTCGCCGCCTCGTCTGCCCCCCTCCCCGCCCCCAACTTCCTCCCAGTCCCTCAAATCCAGGAACGACGTGCGAGCGCTGGCAACGCACGCAGCGCGGCCATCTTGGGAAAGGGCGGTGTGTACTAGAGACCGTCCTACTGGGGTGGGGGGAGAAAACGGGCGCAGAGCGGCCATCTTGGAAAAGGGAAAAAGGGTCCATCGCTTTTCGCCCCGCCTCCGCCGCTGCGGTCGGCCTAATAAAAACACCTGCTTTTGGAACGCAACGCGCGCTGTGCGTGTTTTGTTTTTGTGTTTAAGGCGCCCGCGCCTGCTCTGGAGGCCAAGCTGAAGCTGCCCTCGAAAGCGTGCAAAAGGGACGAGTCGAGCTTGATTCTTAAGTGGGCGGGCAGAGGAACCAACGTCACAAGCAGGTTTGGGAGGAAGGCGGGGCGAAGGTGAGGGGGGGGGAAATAAGACGGTTGCCTGTCGCTTCCTAGCTGCTGCTATTGTCAGCCGTCCAGATCAGGCTCCGCCCCTTTGCCGGTCTTTGAGTTTGGGCGGGAGGAGGACGGGGCGCTACTGGGTGTTGCGCGGGAGTTTTGAGAGCGCGCGTCTAGCTGGAGGTGGAAAGAAGGAGTGAAATAACGTTTTCCGAAGGCGCTTTTTATTGCTGACTAGCTAGAAATGCCTGCTTTCCAAGCAAAGCACTTATTCCGAGCCAGCAGGGAATGGAAAGTGACTCCTTATTACTGGGGTCACTTGTCGGGCAGGGCTTCTAAAATATATTAAGTAATCGGTTTCCTAAGGCAAGTCATTATTTCAGCCCCAAAGTATGTTGTGTTGGAAACCACGGTGGGGGAATTCCCCAAGTGTTGTGGGCTGGTTCTTTGGCAAGTACACCATGACATGATGATATTCTTCTTTGCAAACCGCTCGAGGGATTTTTCTGTTACAATCAAGCAGTATACAAGTTTTATGAAACAATAATAAGATCTAGTAGTGCCCCATCTACAGTATCACTGGACTATTGGTTTACCAGCAGCACAACACCACACCTTTAGAACACACTGGAAAAACATTACACACACACACACACACACCCCAAAAAAATTGGTAATGGTAGTGTGCTGGGAATAAGGGTGCTGGGATTTTTAGATCTATTGGGAGTGAACTATGGTTCCTATAATTATTTTTGGGGGGCGTGCTTTAAAGCAGGGGTCAGCACACTTTTTCAGCAGGGGGCCAGTCCACTGTCCCTCAGACCTTGTGGGGGGCCGGACTATATTTTGAAGAAAAATAATGAACGGATTCCTATGCCCCACAAATAACCCAGAGATGCATTTTAGATAAAAGCACACGTTCTACTCATGTAAAAACACCAGACAGGCCCCACAAATAACCCAGAGGTGCATTTTAGATAAAAGGACACATTCTACTCATGTAAAAACACGCTGATTCCTGGACCATCCGCGGGCCAGATTGAGCAGGAGATTGGGCCGGATCCAGCCCCCAGGCCTTAGTTTGCCTACCCATGCTTTAAAGTTTGGTGTGGATGCAGATCCCAAAAGTGTTCTTACCCCTCTCTGCAATTGTTACTACACATTGCTAAAAATGCTCTCCCCCATGTTGTAGTCATTTTGTAACCATGTTGTAACAGCAGCTGCTGGTTTTCGTAAACTGACCGCAACAGTTCTTTTGTTTCAGACAAATACTGTATATTCTTACAGCTGATCACCTGATTCCATAGAATAGCTTCAATATTCATTATCAGAACGAAGAGGTGGAAGTGTATGTGAAAAGAAAGCAGTGTACTTATCTCCAGTCTTAGTGTGTCAGAAATATATCAGACTTCAAGGTGCAAAAAAAAAAAGAAGCAACGTCATATGAGCAACTTGCAGTCCTTTTGGGATAAAGTTGAAGTTTGCGTGTAGGACACAATATCTGCTCATGATAAATTACTTTACTAATTTCTCAAAGGCAGGCACATCTGAAGATAGAACAGTATTAATTATGATCGCATCCACATTTATCCAGATGTAATCAACAATGGGTCATGCAGTACTTATAAAAAAAAATTCAAAAAAATATTTGCAAAAATTAGGATTTCTGGCAATTGGCTGAATAGGAGAAGATCCTGGGAAACAGAAGAAGCCTTGCTGTTCTTAACTATTGATTAGCTCCCCTAACTTGCAGAAATCTTCCTTACAATATATGTGTATATTCAGATTAAAAGAAAAGGGAAAAGGGTTGGGTATGAAGAGGCAATGAATGGAAATTGGCATGACACCAGTTTTGATGGTGTGAAACAATCACTCTGATCCAGATAGTACAGTGGTACCTTGGTTCTCAAACTTAATCCATTCTGGAAGTCCGTTCCAAAACCAAGGCATGCTTTCCCATAGAAAATAAGGTAAAACAGATTAATCCGTTCCAGACTTTTAAAAACAACCCCTAAAACAGCAATTTAACATTAATTTTACTATCTAACGAGACCATTGATCCATAAAATGAAAGCAATAAACAATGTACTGCAGTCACACAATCAATCAATCAATCAATCAGTAGCTGAACTGGGTTCCACACAGTCGCAAAAACAAAACAAAAAAAGCCACAAAAACGCAAAATAGATAGCAAAAACAGGCAGACCTCAGCATAATACTCAAGTGTGGCACTCAAAACAGAAGCGTAACACTCAAAACGGAGCACGTTTGGCTTCTTAAAAAAGTTCGCAAACCAGAACACTTACTTTCAGGTTTTCAGTGTTTGGGTTCCAAGTTGTTTGAGTACCAAGGCACCTGAGAACCAAAGTACCATGATATTTGCATACTGGGCTCCTGTACCTGCATAAGTTTATCTACACACTTGAGTCACATGGATAACTCTGTGTCTTCTTGTTTGTTCAGTTGTCTGCATATAACTGCTTTACGCACCTTTTTTCAGCAAATGAATAAGTTCACCAGAGACCACAGAACCTTAGATCAGTGCATAATGGAACAGTGGGTGTTGGCCTATGAAAACCATCCAAACTAAACAGATTTTAGCTTTATCCTATGGGCTTGCAAGTACTGTGAAGCTTATAAAAATTGCAGACTTCCATCAACACTGATTAAAGGTCTCGCTTTATCATCAGTGTAGGTGAATGTAGACAGCCGTTTATCAAACTGGTAACTTACCACAATCTGCATGTATCTGCTTTGTCAGGCAGCCACCTGTGTTACCCTGCCATGCATTTTGAAGATCATTTTTTCACATAGCAATCAGAAATTCATAGAATCAAGGGAGTGGTAAAATTATCCTCACCGTTTGGCAGGATGTTGCAGACTGAACTCCAGTCAGTTATGAGGGTCAGATGGTATGAGGGCGGCAACTGCCCACAAAATAAATGATCCAGTTGGGGTCAGACAGGCCAGGAATGATTTAGCATAAGTTTCAGTTGTATGAATATTAAAATATAGAAGAGGAGGAGTTTGGATTTGATATCCCGCTTTATTACTACCCTAAGGCGGTTAACATTCTCCTTTCCCTTCCTCCTCCACAACAAACACTCTGTGAGGTGAGTGAGGCTGAGAGACTTCAGAGAAGTGTGACTAGCCCAAGGTCACCCAGCAGCTGCATGTGGAGGAGCGGAGACGCGAACCTGGTTCACCAGATTACGAGTCTACCACTCTTAACCACTACACCACACTGGCTCTCATGATATACTGCCTCACAAAACGGCCACATTCATAACATATATTTAAAGCAATATCGGGTGTTAGAAGAAGGATAGGACCTCTGGTGGGGGACACGTCATGCTCCTTCTGGGGTAGCTTGTCCACCTTTGGTCCCCACCCTGCACTCAGCTCTCACCCGTGGCTCCTAGAAGCTGTCAGCATGCAACAGTGGCCATACCTCAGGAACTGCTTCGGCTAGCCAGCTAAACCAGGTGAGGGTAGCCAATGGGTCTCAAGGGAAGTTAGGGGCTTCCCCTGCATGTGAAGAAGACAGGCTCCAGTGGATTGAGCAGATGAGACAATTATTAAACTTATTAAACTATTACTAGTGATTGATATTGCAATACTTAAAAGAGCATAACAATCGCATTCCGTAGATGTGGTCAACCATGCATTAAGAACAGGTCAGGGTACGATGTTTCATGAACTCAATGTGAACTGAACATTCTAGGGTGGATGAGGAAGGAATGCTTCAGCTTAGAGCGGTCTGCCAGACTCATGTGCAGAAGCAGAACTTCCCATCAGTAGGTCTAACAGTCAAGAAGGCAGTTTTTGCATGTGCTGTGGAGGAATGTGCAGATGGGGTTCGTCAACTTGGGAAGGTAGCCTGTACAGAGAAGGAAAACTCTGACTCTAAATCTCTGCTGCCTTGCAGGATATATTTGGGAGAGGAAAATGCTAAGGCGTAAATCCAGACTGGACTCCCTAGGACAGTTGAATGACACCTTGTACGCCTCTTTTCGGCAACTCCTGCAGCCAATCTGGTGCCGAACATTTTGCTTTCCTTTGGAGCACATCATCGAGGCCGAGTGGGGGGTCTTGTCATCTGGGCAGCCCAAGACCTCCATACACAATACCCGGGCTTGTGCCTCAGGAAGATCACTTTGGTGCTGCTAAAGCAGCGGTTTGACTTCACCCCCAAAGGTGCAGTCCATTATGGTCTCTTGAGACAGGCAGATGCCAACAATGATACCACTTTAAACAGCCATGACTTCCCCTCAGGACCTCTGGATGTTGGGAGTTGTTAGGAGAGCTACATATTGCAGAGTGATTTAACAATCAATCTGTTATGTATTGGGTTTAACACATTTTATGTTACAAGGTGCGTTCTAACCAATCGTATAAGCGTTGGTAGACGAACGTTCTAATGGCAAGTATTATAGTATTTTAATATTCTTTTGGAAGCCGCCCAGAGTGGCCGGGGAAGCCCAGCCAGATGGGCGGGGTATAAATAATAAATTATTATTATTATTATTATAAGTAAACACATGCACTTTCAACTGGCAACTGGCAACGGTCAGTTCATCCTGGGGTTTATTATTGTGTTGTCCAGTCAGTTTGGTTCTTGTGTTCCTATGAGTAAGCTGTTGTCACTGACAAATGTTGAATAAACTTAGTTGAGGAACTTA